CTGCCCGGGCAGCACTTGTGCACTCGGGGACGAGGATCACGACCGGACAGCCCTGCGGACAGTGCACCGCCGCCGCGCGGGTGGAAAACGACAGGCACTGATCCCACGATGCCCGAGACAGACGCTTCGACCCAGGGTGCCAGTCCCTGGGGTGCCCTAAAGAACGCGTGGGACTTGGAAGCAGGTCAGCGACCGTGAAGGAGGATGAGACGTGGCAGGACCTCAGGGCGCGGAGCTGTTGGCGACGCCTGGAGCTGCGGGCAGGAGGGAGCCGGGCCGAGTCCCTCACCGCGGAGCCCGCAGCAGCCAGCACGTGGGCCACGAACCTGCCAGAGCGGGAGGCCCCGCAGTCGTACCGGCAGGAGGCACAGGGACGCTGAGGCGGGAGGAAGGGGACCGAGACGAGGCAGGCCACAGAACCAGCCACTGCTACCAGCAGGAGATACTCCAACCCGGGCCATCTGGGCGAGGGGGGCCAGGGGACATGGGCGAGGACAGCAGGTGTGACCTGCCGACCCGCCCCTTCTCCCTCGGGTAACATCTGCTCTGTGGGATGTTGACCCTCCATGCTCCCCAGCGGAGCGCGAAGGGCACCGGGGAGGGCACCCGAGCCCGCCACGCACGTCCACCTCCGCGCGGTCAGGCTGGGCCCCGCACAGCCCCACACCAGCCCCGGCTGGCACAGCAGACAAGCCCAGGACCCGAGGGGGCAGGCGTCCCATGCCACCCTGTGCCAGGAAGGGGGGGATGCGGGACAGGACGCGAGCTCAGTAAGGTCTGGCCATGCGGGGCACCGAGGGGCAACTGCAGATCTCTGTCCCTGTCGTGAGAGCGATGGGGTCGCCCAGGAGGAGGAGCAGGACCAGATCTGTACTGCGACTGGTACCCTCACTGTGGGGGGGGTGAGCGGGGAGCAGTTAGCAGGAGGACAGCAGAGGGACAATCAGCAGAGGGCAGACTGCGGGGACATCACAGACAAGACCCCGTTGGCATGAAAGTGGTCCCAGGGGCGCAGACAGAGCGCGGATGGAGCCGGGGGTCCGGCCCTTCCCGCAGCAGGACTCGGGCGGGCTGGGCCTGGGGCGGAGAAGGCGGGCACACGGCACAGTGCCCGAGTGCAGCCGACGCCCTGGGCAGAGGCTGCCGAAATCCCGGGACTGCCAGGCGTGCAGGTGTGGGTGGGGGTCACCCCAACTGGGAAGGGAAATGACGCTTCACTCTGCAACGCCGGCTTTGAAACAGCCTCAGACGTCAGAGCAGAGAGGCCGGGTGGAGGGCAGGTACCAAACCTCAGCTCTGGGGGGGTCCTGAGCTAAGTGTCCTCGAAATCACTTGTGTTTACGTGACAACCAGGCCCTGCGTGGACGACACAGGTGAGGGAGATGGCGGGGTCCCAGTGAGACAGACTGGGCCGGCCAGGGACACCGGCTCGGTGAGACAGCCGCTGTGTCTTCCCTCCCGCAGGACAGCGGGCGTCCACTCCGTTTACGTCAACCGCCGCTTCCAGGCCGTGCCCCGCGGCTGTCGGTGCCCATGCGGGATACTGATCGTCGGCCCCGTTTACGGTTCCACCACACCCCCCAAACCGAGACCCCTCTAAACACGCTCAGTGAGTCAGCTTGAACCCCAGCCGTGCTACTCAGCCCTCTGAGCGGGCGGAGGGGCGACGGATGATGAGCCGGGTTCTGGAGTCTCCGCTCCGCTCTGCGCTGGTCTGCCGCCCATGGGGTCGCGCTCACTGGGCCCCGCCTCGTGCCTCAATTCTACACGCAGAGGACGCTACAGACATTGACCAGTGGTGTATGTGACGCGCTCAGCACACACAAAGTGGTTTTCAGATCCATAATTTTCAACAGATCGTCTGCTGAGCAGACTGGGTGCCCCGATCGCCCACCAGCCTTATTGGAAAGCCCAGCTACGGGACATGTCGCCGGTCTGTTGTAAATATCGTCGTTCAAATAATGCTGTATCGCTACACCTCATTTACACTTTACTAATTTGCGTTGTGCTATGGACATCCTGGGGCCACGGGAGACCAGGGGGACAGGCAAATCCTGATTCCTCCCGTCTGGACAGAAGAGGACACACACAGTGTTAGAGTTCATGAAGCCAAACGTTTATTTGGAAAGTCGAAGTTCATGTGTAATGAAAATATGTTTAAGCCATACATGTTCACAGGCAGAAACACAAACACCACCTCTAACACAAACACCTTTTAATTAAGTTCCGCTATGAGTATCAATCTACGTGAAAAAAAAAACAAAGTCCTCGGATACAGTCCTCGTCCAGACCCCCCTCTCTCTCGAGGACGCCGCGAAACGATTTAAGCTACGAGCGACACCCGCTTTGGTTCAACGCTCATTCCACGCCGGGGACCCAGGGGCGTCCGTGCTGCCAGAGCACAACCCCCACGAGGGCCCTCAGTGTCGGCCCGGGGTCACCCTCATGCTGTGAACATTGTTAGGGTTCAGCCTGCAGTTAGTTCTCGGCGCTTAGGAAAGCACACCAGTCAGCGTTCTCGCGCGTGGTCTCTCTGGAGCTCATCTCTTCCACGAACATAAAATAGGAGAAAATATGACTGGAGACTTCCGGCACAATTTCATAGTGTCTACTTTTTTCTTTTCTTTTCTTTTTTCTTTTTTTTTTTTATAAACACGGGCACACCCAAAACAGCAGATGCCTTTACATGAAGAGAATACAGCCACCAAATGCACATTTTCTTATAAATACACATGCAAAGAACACTTCTGTGTAGCAAAGACCCTGCTTAGTTTTATTCGGATTAGTCATGTTGGACGGCGTGTGCAGACCACATTGCTCACGGAACAGCAGGTGGGTTATATTTCCTGTACGCCTGTTTTTCTATAAAAATATATTTGTGTGCTCACAGGAAGAAAAAACATCGCCTTGGTCTGCGTGGGGTGACTTTTGGATACATCGTTAGAGTAAAGGTTTGTTTTGGAAATTCAAAGGCATCTCAGCTTGTATTATTTTCAAATTTTTCTTCGTAAAAAAGAACACCCTGTGACAAAGAGAAGGTGACTGAGATCATCGTTAGCACTTGATTGTTGAGACCGTTTGAAGCAAAGGGGTCAGCAACTTGCCTAAGTTGGGTTTTTCTGTACAAAGTCGGGGCTGGGACAGGGGAGAGCTCAGGGTCCTAGGCTGTGGGCAGCTCCCCGGGAAGTCACCCCACCAACCGGCCTGGAGAGCACACACCACCCATTACGTAGAAACCACGTCGGCAGTGGACAGAGAGAGGCAGCCCTGGGCCCCGTCCTTCTGTGCTGAAGGCTCCCCGCAGAAGCCAAAGGGGAAAAGGTCCCGGGACAGCGGAAGGCGGCCGTGACGCAGTCCCGTTGTCCATGATCCTCAGTTCTGGCCACTCGGAACATAGGAGCCGGGACATCCTGACCACACAGACAGCTAAAGGGGCGCTAAGATTCGGGAAAGGGAACATGTCATCGCTTGTGTTAACTTCTAACACGAGGACCATTAAATGTTTCGTGAATCGGCTTCCAATGCTTGGTTAGGTTGTTTCCACCTTACATGACTCTCTTGAGACCTTTCTGACGGACGACAAACACAGGAGCTGACGCCACCACAGAACTAGACTCTACAGTCCCAACCAGGGCCCGGTGCAGAGCCGCGACCAGACAGCCCCCCAGGGGCGTCGCGCAGGACACAGGACGGCTCTGCCTCCCGAGCCACTGTCCCCTAGAGATCAGTCCACGGTGCCGACAGGTGTGTGGGTCCCCACAGCCAAGTGGGCGAGGGCCATCCCCGTTGGAACTCCGCCTCAGGGGGCGGTCCAGTTCTGACCACGGGCCACTGTTTGAAATAAGACATTTTTTCGCTGCTCATGCATTTTGGATGACACACGGGATGTAAAACGACATGTAGGTATACCACGTGGGCTACTGCATCAACCACGATGAACACCCCTAATCTGGGTCCACAGGACAGGTGGTGGGGGGCAGACAGCGAAGTCCAGGACTGACCGGGATACGCCCACAGCTACCATTCAAAGAGAAGGCAAACTCCACGCAACGCAGGGTTTGTGGCAGGGGTACAGAACGCTCCCTTCCGTGGAGGAGTGGGCCACGGAAGGCCACGGACAGGCCCACACAGCCCTTCTGACACTTTCTAAACCGTTCTGTGTACGATCTCAGAAGAACGAGTTGCTGTAGGCCAGGAAAACATGCCATATTTATGGGACATTTTATTCTAAGACTTGGGAAGAGCAGAAGACGGAATCCAGGTGCTTTATGCAGAGTCCTCCGTTTGGGGACCCAGAGCTGGGCATGGCCGTGGAAGGGTGGCGTGGCCTCTCTGTCCACGTTCTTCCTCTCACCCCAAGATAAACCCATCGGTCCTCAAACTGTGTGACCATCAGCATGGCGTGTGCATCGCAGCCACGGGATGGAGGCGCGCCGTGACGCGGACTTGGCGACGGGTGAAGGTCCGTGTGCAGGGGGAGCATTACGTAGACACAGTTCTGACCTCCAGCCACGCGGGGACCTCGCCCTGTCCTTCCTCAGGTGACCGGGGACAGCTGCCTCTTGTGCAGCCAAAGTCCATCCAAGAAAAAGACAAACAGGGTGCCGATCCCATACCCCTCGGGAATTAACAAGTCACGTCAGAACCGGAAGGTGCATTTCTGTCTAAACGGGACGGTCTCTGGGCAAGTAGTTAGAGCTCAATAAATACTAGTGGCATTTGCCTAAGACTTCTACTAAGATTTAAATAATACATTTTGACTGTATCGAGACAACACCGAGAGTTTAATAAGACATTCATTTTCCTCTTTACACGTAAATAATCTGTGTGCTTACAATGACCACCTTTTAGCCTGCAGGGAGGCTGCCACTCGGTCCCAGAGACCAGCACATACGTGGAAACAGTGCCCGCGAGGCCGCCGCGTCCGCCAACAGGGTGACGCGTGTGGCCGGGCGTCCGGAGTGCACCGGTGGACACTGACTAGGTCGAGTGACTCTCATCACGGGATTGTTGCATGTCTGAGGAGTCAGCACCTGTAAGGAGGCAAACAGGCGGCAGCGCTGGACACTCTGTTTCCACGGCTGAGGGTTTTTCTCGGCAGGAGGGCAGGGGCGGCGTCGCTGGGGTCTCTGGCAGTGTGCTCTGTCCCCAGGTGCTCGGTCTGGCGCCCTTGAGCTGAGACACGGAGGTCGGTGGCAGCCAGGGACACGGCCACGTGGCGTGTCACGCCCGCAGTGGGAACGTGGCCGCCGAGCTGCCGTTGCTGTCCACGGACCCCTTCTCCTTGGAGCCCGCGTAGGCGCCGATGAAGGACCCGTCCTCGCTGAACAGGCCGTGGTCCCCGTCCCCGTACTGGACCAAGCTGTCGGCGCTCTCCGTGGCCGGCATGGCCCGGGTCAGGGACCGAGGGCTGCCTTTCAGAGGCTTCTCGTCGCTGTCGCTGGAAAACAGCAAAGGGTCCCTCAGCGCTGTCGTCTGAGCTGCTCACGCAAAGCAGCAGGGCTCACAGCGCCCAGGACTCCCACGTGACCGGGGGAGACGGGTACAGACAGCCGGGGTAACACGCTCACAGACACACGTTTCGCAGGTCACAACCAGTCGGCCGTTCCGCGTGACCGAGAGCCGCCTCCCCGTCCCCAGCTGGGGCCCCACGGGCTCAAAGGGCCGCCTCACTGACTGGCTCCGGGGACTTCGGCAAGGTCTCCCCTCTGACCCGTGTCCCCACGACCTTCCGAAACCACCCCTCTGACTGGGTTACTAATCAAATTCTGTTTCTTGTAACCAAAGAAGTCCCTCGGATAGAGTTTATAAACTCAGGGTTTTCATTGTAAACGACGGCTGGTGTTCTTAGGACCTGCATCTACGGGACCGTGTGCGGATGGTTTGGGTTTCACGCTGACGAAAAGCAGCTTCGCCCGGCCTTGCGCCAGCATCGGCCTGAGCACGGAAGGTTGCCGGTTCGATTCCCAACCAGGGCACATCCCTGAGAGATGGGCTCAGAGCCCAGTCTGGGCGGAAGCAACTGATCGACATCTCTCTCTCTCTCTCTCTCTCTCTCTCTCTCTGTTTCTCCCTCTCTCTACGCATGTCCTCAGGTGAGGATTTAAAAATAATCATAGGATAATAACAATAAATATAACAAATATTTTTTTTATAAAGCAACTCTGAGAGTGAAACGTCTGTAACAGTCTTCGATATTCCTGATCAGGGTTTTTTTCCTTAAGTACTAACAGCCGCGACACTGTCAAGTCGTGTACCGAATGAAACAGTTTTGTCAAACCCGACAGAGGAAGAATGTGGAGAAATGTAAGCAGGGCGTGAGCAGCTCTTGGGAAGACGTGGCCTGCGCTGGAGGCCTGGCCACGGGCACGGCCCGTCCCCACTTCCCCGTGGCACCCGCTGTCCCCGGGAAGAGGAGCCGAGGTGACGTGTGCCCCCCGCGAGCTGGTGCCCGGGCCTCCGTCCGGCTCCTGTGCCCTGGTGGTCTGGACGGCCTCCCCCTGGCCAGTCCCCTCATGACCAGCGTCACCAGAGCCGTGACTGAGAGCTGAGCGCACACTTGGCAGAACCGCAGCTCGGGTGCCCTGACGGAGCCGGTCGTGGGCTCCGGGACGGGGGTTCTGCAGTTACCACAACAGAAGACTGCGGGTGACCTTGCGTCGGGGCGGCAGAGTGGCCCGGAAACCAGCCCCGGGTCACAGCGCGGCACCCGGACACTGTCCCGGGGGTCAGGGAGAGAACAGGGGTTTTCCTGATGAGCACGCCGCCTGGGGGTACAGCATGAGAAACATGTGACCTGCTCCAAGGGCACAGGTGAGCCGTGCGGGTGAGTCACCTGCACCTGAAGGACCCGCGCACCTGGGCGGACGCCGTGTTTACCTGTAGTCTCCGAAGGTCTCGTCTTTCCCCGACTGAACTTCTGGGTCCGGGTGCAGGTCCTCCTTGTCCTTCACTACAGAGGAGAGAGAGACACGAACCGTGAACGTGTGCGGCCGGAAGGAACCCCGGAGCCACGCCTGCTGATGCCACGGAGCCAGGTGCTTCTGTGGTTCACCTACCACAGCAGTTACCGCGTAAAGAAACGGGGCACCTGGGTTCCCCTCTGTCACCCGCGTTCCGGCACGTGGCAGATCTCACATTAACCCAGTGCTCTGTGGGCCACGTGGCTTAGCTGTGGCCGCTCACGGAGACCGAGGTGTCCACGTACACTCGCTCCCCTACCCTCTGAGGGCCACAGGCTCAGCCAGCTCTCTGCCATCCCATACAGAGAGCGGAGTCGGCCCTGTGTTGGTCTCTCGTCACGTCCCCTCCTCAGTCAGGCTATCGGGGTCCACAGTGACATCACAGCAGCTGTTTGCTGAGGAGCGAGACGCAGGAAAAGCCCAACGAAACGCTATCCTCGGCACGTCCACGACTCGCAGACCTGGGGGTCCCGCCCACAGTGCGAAGCGTCCGCTTTCATTTCCCTTGAGAGCATCTGAAGACGCCCCTTTAGAGCCTGGGACAGGCCACACCTCACAAGGACTATTTGGGGGTGACAGCCAAAGGGAATGTGCATGGAAAGGGGAACGGGCCCTGCCCAGGCTCTGACGCCCCCACCCCTGGGGACAGTGCAGGCCTGGAGGCCAAGCCGCCTGGGAGACCCGGGCAGCTGGCCAGCGCCTGTCTGAGGACGCAGGAGGAGGAGCCCTCCCAGGTGGGAGCCGGGACCGTGAACAGCCCCCGCCCGGCCCTGCCCTGTGTCCTGTTCTCTACGGGACCCCGTGTGGGAGTCAAGGGAGCAAAGCCACGGAGGCAGCCGGCTGCCCCCACGGCCCAGCCACAGGCCGGGTGGGACTTGGCGGGACGTCACCGGCGGCGGCGGTGTGGCGGTCAGCGTCATGGTCGGCCTCGTGAACCCCGTCTTTCCCAGCCAGTCCCCCGGATCCACAAACCACAGGCCCAGGTTTCCTGGGGTCACTGCAGTTGGCATGACCCAGGGCTGGGCCGCTGGAAGGCGTCCGGTGATCCCCAGGGCGCCCCTCAGCCCTCGAACGTCTAGTCCATAGTCACCGGCCATCACGGAAGAAATCATGCGCGATCGTGTGACTTGTAGACATTCAGAAGTTATTCTGATTGGTTTCTCCAGTGTGCGTAATGGGCTCCCGATAGGTATTTGTGGATGAATCCCAGGCCAGGAATGAGCACCACCCCGCAAACCATCCCACGGAGGGCAGTGGGGTCCCACCCTTCCCCTACACGAGGGCATCGCGGATACTAGGAAAACAACCCCAGCATCTGAAACAGACTGAGATGAAATACACTTGAAAACTGGATGACGTTTAAGGGAAAACAACCACTACATGAACTAGAATGGTGCTTGTTCACATTTTAGATGTCATTCATGGAGGGGCGGGGTCTCGCTGTGTCCAAATGTCTCAGAGCAAAAATCCACCCTCAGCAACGCTGACTCCAGTGCGGCTGACGGTGGGGCCGGAACCCACTCGTGGGAGAAAGTCCCTGGTCGGGGACGTGAGGAGAGGCGTCCTTCCTTCCGAAGGTACGGAAACACGTGTGTGTGCTCAGTAATAAGTCTCCTCGGCATCTCTGACATTTTACAAATAAAGAGGAGAAACTGGGAAGTGCTGTAAGTCTCCTGAGAGCCCATTTCAGTACAGAAACTGGAGAAGTGGGCAGACACCTGGGGATAACACCCCTGCGGTGACTTGATACAGGACAGTGTTTCCTCCCAGGTGGACACTGCATGTCTACTGCACTGATATAAATTTGACTTCAGTGTGTGATCAAATGAGCAAGAGGCGTCTCGGCAGACTGACTCCCCCAGCACACGATTTCATCAACTGACGGTCGTATCAAAAACAACTCTTCTTGCTCATTTGCTGCTTTTTTATTTACATCCCACACACCAGAAACATCTGTTCTTGTCCTTTTCTGTCTGATTCAGTTCACTCAGCATGACCGTCTCGAGACTCACCCATGCTGCTACCGATGGCAGCGGCCCACCTTTTTCCTGGCCGAGTAGTACTCCGCTGCACACGGGTACCGGCGGCGCTGCCCGGGAATGTCGAGAAGAACATGGACCCCCTACCTGAGTACTTCCCGCCGCGGTTCCTCTTCACGAAGCAGACGGTCAGCAGGACGAGCGTGAGCGCGGCCACGGCGCCCATCAGCCCGATGAACCAGCCTTGCGTGGTGATGCTGTCGTACAGGCCGGCGTACTCTGTCGCACAGAGAAGTCACACATGAGGCTAGAGCGTCCCGGGCGCTAGGCCTCTGGGGAAAGTTACACATCATTTTAAACACACAAAACAGTACAGTTTGTCTTCCTCTCCAGTGCCCCAGAGGGGACGTGACTTGGAGGATGTTTCCTCGGGACACTGAGGTCGGCGGAGGACGGGCCTCTGCACCGCGCGGGCGGCGACCCCAGCGGAGGGCACAGGGCAGGCGGCCAAGGCGGCCAGGGCAGACAGCGGCAAAGCGCAAGCAGAAGCCGGCTGGGCACTGCGGGATGCCAGGCCGTTCGGGTCCCGGCCCGTTTACTTGTTAGCGTTGGTTATTCACGTGCGCTATGAGCAGGAGGTGGTTCTAGGCCGTGTTCCCGCCGAGAGCGGCAGGGCAGGGGCCTCCGCGGGGCGTGCGTGTCTGCTGGCTTGAAGGCGCTATGCCGACACGGGGGACCTCTCGGCTCCCGCCCTGGCCTGTCACACGGGGTGGGGACGGCCGGTCTACGGGACACAGGGTACCCTCGAAGGCAGCCCCACACGATCCCAGCCTCACCTCTCCCTCTCTCCTCAATCACATCTTCAAAAATGCTGCTGTTCCCGACCCAGTTCTTAGTCAGGGGGCGGACTACATGCTCAGCGCCGGGCTCAAGTCCCTCTAGTGGGTGCACCTGGTCAGTAACATTCACTCCTTCCGAGGCCGTCCCGGGACCTCGACCTAAGGAACGTACACAGCAAAGCACACACAGTCACCTCGAAGAGCAGGACAGCGAAGGTGTGACACAGACTGTTACTGGAGACGCGGAGACGGCTGCCGGCGGCATGCTTTCCGTTAGCTAGGTCCTGACCGGTCAGGAGGTCCGCGAAATCAACCTTCGGGGTTTCCTCCTTAACAGACTGGGATTCGGTCAACGCGGTGAACCTCATTCGAGTCCCGCTGGGATGACGTACGTGCCCAGGAAATAGTGCTACAAATCTACCTGGTCCGGTGAATGGTTCCGCCCAAACGTGGACCTCAGAAACCAGACACTGTTGTTTTGTGGGGTCTGAACTCCCACACACCTAGCAGGAGACTGACTGTGGACACTGAGGCTCATCACTGGAAGCATGTGGCGTCTGAACCCCACGCTACTCCTCTTTGCCTCGCTGGGCCCCACAAACACGGGTGGAGGAGCACCAGAGACGGTCGTGTATTAAACACAGGACACCTGTAGGAACTGAAGCTACATAAAGTGCAGGCTCATAGGTACATTTAATTGAAATGCACTCCGACGGGAGGTATTCTGAGGAATGGGCACTTTTCAAAAACCGTGGATATGCCAATAGATTCGTCGTAAAAACGCATAGTTGCAGCCCAGCCGTCGTGGCTCAGTGGCTTGGGCATCGTCCCGTGGACTGAGAGGTCCTGGTTCAATTCCCAGTCAGGACACCTGCCCGGGTTGTGGGCTCGATCCCCAGAGGGAGCGTGCCAAAGGCAGCCGATCTATGTTTCTCTCTGACATCGATGTTTCTATCTCTGTCTCTCTAAATTAATAAAAACATATTTTAAAAAATAAAATTTAATACAAAAAAACACAACTCATAGTTGCAGATAACAATATGAGTCACGTGTAATTAAAGGATACATTTAATTTCCGGTGTTGCAACAAAATGTCTAAAATACTTTCCTAGATATTTTGCTAAGAATCAACTCACCAGAATAACTGGAAACCAGAAAATGTTAACAATGTATACTGAAGTAAAATATCTCCCATATTTTCGAGAATATTAGGGGTTATGCAACTCTCTTCATAATGGGATACTATGTTTCATGTTAAACTTTAGTTACGTTTCCATAGATGGGAACTGGATTGAATAGTTTCTGATAAGAAAAGGGCTTTGCTACAAAGCGGCACCGTGGAAGAAAGGACAGTTACATTAGTTGAGCAAAGCCATGAAGGTAGAGCACCACTGAAGTCGAATGCAGTTAATTTAGACGCTGAAAAACAGAAATATTAATATAATACTGAGTAGCACAAGCTTTTGAAAATCAGAGCAAAGCAAGTGTTCCATTCAAACCAGTAAAAGACACACAGAAGAGTCTCCCCGATTCACTCCATCTTCTCCCTCTTACGTTGTGAACACTGGAGGGACCCCGACAGCAGTCAGAGAAAATGCCTGGCTGTCAGATCCCGTTCTCGGAGTAACGACCCGATGACCTGAGCGTGTGCCCCCTCGTCAGAGCGAGAAGGGAGATGCGCAGAAGTGGACCCCAGTGTGGACAAAAGTTATCATTTTTCAGAGTGTTTTGTGATCGCAAAACACGGTGGCCCCTCATTGGAAATGTTTCTGTAGTTTTTTCAAAGATCACAAGGAACCCCAGTGGAAAGGGGTCCGTTTCTTTCCTACGAACATGCCCCCCAAGGAGAAGTCAGTGTGAACCAGGAGGGGCAGGTGCTGGGACCCTGGAAACACAGAGCTCTGGAAAGGAGCCCACAGGCCCGTGGGGCCGGTTTCCAAAGCGCTGTCCTGAGACTGGGCACATGAGCCCCAAGCACTGGGTCTCCCATCACTTTGCGGAAAAGCCGTCGCCTCGGTTAGAGAATCACACAAACAGCCTTTCGCATCCTCCAAAAGAGTGATTTTCAACGCTTCTCACCTCAGGGCCCACGTGACTCATTACTCTGCGCACACCAAACAAATACGCGTTTTGCTGATCTTACAAAAAAAATAGGTATAATTTTGATTCATTCACATGGGCCGGCTATTGTGTTGGCGGCTGGCGTGTTTCTATTTGACAGTCTAGGGGAGACGAGGTCAGCGCCCCCACTGGACAGCAGACAGGCACACAGGTGGCGACATCACCGGTCTGACTCCCCAGTTCCCAGCTGAGGTTCCGCATTGCCTGGCTGTCTCCCCTCGCTGCCTCCCACTGGCAAGTACCCTGCAAGGTCAGGTCAGCTTGGCCCGCACACAGGCTGTCTGTCCTCTGCTTCAGTTCCCTTTACTGTCCTACTCTGGTTTCTTAATTCCCTCCCAGCAGACTACTGATTTCAGCGAAGGCTTTGCAAGATCACTGTGAACATCGCAGTTGGAGAAATAATGTGGGGCTGGAAATGGTTCTGAGTTGGAACAAAAAAGTGCCACTAACCCATAAAAAATATGCAACTAAAACTAGATGTCTTGGTCATTTTTAATAAATACAATAAAATCGCTACATGAGTCGTGTGTGGCAGTCCGTTCGGGAAGTGAAATATCAGATCAGTACTGCGAAGTGTCTACCAGGGCAAGAGACCTTTTTTTTTTTTGGTATGAAAACTTTCCCCCAAAAAAGATCCTCCTACTAACCTTACGACTAACTTTGCGAACATGTTCCCTAGTTTGAGTCAAACGATAGCCCCTGACCTGTGCACCACACACGAGGGGGTGCAGCTGTGTGGAGTCAACACGTTGGATCGACGTGAACTCCAGGAACAAGGTGAATACCTTCTGGGTCTACGTGGGTGGATCACAGTCGGCCGCCGAGGCCACGGGATCCCCAGGTTACAAGGGCCAACACGCCAGCGCGTGCGTTCGCGGCGGCTGTTAAAACCCACGGAGGGCAGCTTTCACCTCCGCCCACGTACTTACTGCCGCCTCCTAAGGTGGCCATCTCCTCCGTGATGGGGTTTCCGCAGCCCTTGGACGTGCACGCCCTCACGTAGAACTTGTACTTGGTGGTGGCGTTGAGGCTCGACAGGCGCCAACTGTGCTTGGCCGGGGTGGTGATGTTGACGTCGATGAGCTCCCCCAGCTCAGAGGTGTTGTTTACTAGGGAAAAGGACAGGCCTCACATTGCAGTCTCAACCATTTGGTCACCCCGCCCCTAACTTCTGCTTCTGCGTTCGCCTGGGGTGTGCAGGGCGGTTCCTAGCTACCCACCCGCCCGTGCTACGGGCTGGCACGATCCCCATACGGGGGCGAGCCAAGGTCCAGCCCAGATCTAGCTGGTGGCCGGCTCAAGGGCTCTTACAAACACACAGCAAACGCACGTGTCCTGCTACCCCCTGGCACTGAGCTCTCACGAGAACAGAGCTGGGCAACCCTTTGCGGAAAGGGCTGGATGGTAAGTGCATTGCCCAGGCCCAAGCTCCCCACACCGTAGCTACGGGACCAGAAACAGTTATGGGCGAACAGAGGCCGGGGGCGTGGCTGTGCTCAGCCGAGTTTTCTTGATGAAAAGGGACAGCGGGCTGGCTGTGTCCCCCGCCGGCTTGGGGCCCCGCGTCACCGGGAAGCCAGCTGGCCGGCCGGCAAGGCAGGGTCACTCGGCTCAGCAGGGCACGCCAAACACCCACGCTACACGGAGGCCATTCAAACGTCTGCCTACTTATCTGGTACTGCAGCAGGTAGCCGGTGAGGTTTCCGTTCAGCTTCTCAGGCAGACCCCAGGACAGAGTGGCTGTGTCCTTGTCCACGCTGACGACCTTGAGGAACGCTGGCTGCTCAGGCACTAGGACACGCAGACCGAGAACAGAGACCTCGTGACTCGGACACTCCAAGAGAACAACCCCAAAGCCCCCTTAGTATACGTCTTCACGGAAATCGAGAAGCCAGCTCAGGGGGTGCACCTGCTCTACTATTGACTCGGCCTCTGGAACATCCCCAGGCCGGCACCGGCCCCGCAGACACCCCTCACCTCCCTCCGGCGTCTGGAAGGTGTAGGGCTCGCTCTCGGGACCGGCGCCCTTGGAGTTGTAGGCCAGGACCGTGAGGCGGAACTGGGTGAAGGCCTCCAGTGCGGGCAGCATGCCCTGGGTCCTCTGCCCCAGAAACCTCAGGACGTGCACCTCCTTGGGGTGCGCTCTTCCGTCCAACAGGCTCTTTGTCTTCCACCAATTTATCTGCAATGGAAATGGGAGCCTTGACCAGGCTGTCGCCACGGCCTGAGGTGCCGCTGGCTCACAGGACGGGTCGTGTCAACACGGGGACGGCGGGGCAGAGACCTGGTATCCTTTCAGACGTCCGTGGACTCTGTCCTTGGGCACGGAGGACCAGGTCACCTTCACCAACGTGCTGTTCACGACGTCCACGCCGTGGACCACTGGGGCTACATCGGGGTCTGTGGGGCACGAGAGGGCGGTCAGCTCTAACGATCCCCACCTGTGGTGACCGGACCGCTCAAAGCTGTCCGGGGTTGATCCCCAGAAAAGTGTGGAATCAGTTCCTAAGGAACCAGAGAACTTCTCGTCCCAGCAGTGTGTCGGCCACAAGGGTTCAGGGACACGGGAGCCAGGCCAGCAGCACCTTGGCTGCAGGGGCCAGGGAGTCACCTGGACCTGCTGCCTTGAAAGGACCTGAGCCGACTGGTGCTGTTGCTCGGTTACTTGGCAACGGTATCCATCCGGCATCAATACCAGCAGCAAACTGAGCATGTGCATGAGTCAGGCATCGTCCAGGGGCCTGGACGGGCTCCCTCCACCCTTGGGACAACCCACCAAGGTCGGGTAGGAAAATGCAGACGCAACTGGGTCAGGTGGGAGCCGCCCCACATTCTCCATCTCGGGCCTGGATGGAAGCACCTGTCGGGGGGCCGGGTCCCCGCGCACGGCTCCCCCTGGGCGGTCCCACTGGACACAGAGCCTGCTCCCTCCGACACTCGACTTGCAGGACTCCTCACGGTGTGAGCACTTAGGGACTCGACCACACTGCGAACACCCTGACCTCTGTGTGTGGGACTCTGCACACACCTCCGGGGCTGTCTCAGCCTCGGAGGGGGAAGGGGGGAGGGGGGAGGGGTGCTCCGCCCACGCCGGAGGCGGGCCCAGTGGTGGGGGGGGGCATGTGGAGGCTCCCCGCTGTGTGACCCTGCGCTGCCTACCCAGTGACCTGGTGACTGAGGGCTCTACCTTCAGTATCGAAAGCGCTTCATCGGGGAACGTAAGGAATGAAGCCTTCCCGGCAGCCCCTACCGCTCTACACGGGTGGAGTGTCCCGTCAACCCCAATGCAGGAGTCGCATCCCTGAGCCCCCAACCCCCCTCCCCAAGAACACCCTCTAGTGGGCAGAGGCCGCGGACAGACTTGGGTCGGCACTGGGAGCTGCCGGGCGGGCACCTCGGGGCGCACTCACAGTCCTCTCCAGAGTAGAGCACCACGGACTGCGGCTCGGGGCCGGCGCCCAGCTGGTTGACGGCTCGGACCTGGACCTCGTAGGGGGCGTAGACGTCGGGCGTCATCACGCGCAGGCTGTGCTCGCGGACTGTCTCCTCCGCCCACTCGCCCTGGGCCCCCTGGGGCTTCCAGGACACGCGGTACTCCAGCCCGGGGCCGTTCTGCTCCAGGGACTTCAGAGGCTGGGGCAGAGGCAGGTGTCATCAGGGACAGCCCAGCCCGGGCCTGAGAACGGCGCACGGTCCCCCCGGGGGAGCTACCCCTCCCGTTAGAAAACTGGGGACATTCCTGCCATCCCCGGAAGTCTGTGCATTAGTCCCTCGCCTCCCGGCCATAAGACCCACGGTCTGGAGGCCTGGGTTCTGTCCGCGGGGTTAAGTCTAACTTTTCATTAGCAGGAGACCGCAGGGACACTCCGCCCGGGGTGCAGCCTGTGCCCAGCCCCCCTCTGCAGTCTCGTTCGGCCCCGCAGACGGGCAGGCGAGAGGACGTGCCCGTGACCCAGGCGGGGGGGGATCCCCCGCTGTCCACAGACCTGTCCCCTCCACCCCTCCAGCCTCCTCGGCCTTCTTTCCAGAGAAAAACAGAGACTAGACATCATTTTTGGAGGATGCGAATGCTGACACGTTAGCACCCAGAACAGATGCCTCCTGTCAGTGATGAGTAATGTCCCGGCTCCGGCCGGTGTCTCTGTTTCCCTAAGAGAACCCGTCCGTCCCCATCCCGTCCCCTCCACACACACCTTAGTTAGCGGTGAAGGAATATTGAGTGTAGAATGTCTAGTGTAGAACATGGGTTATTTCCACTCACTCATTTTGTTTGTTTGTTTTAAGAATAGCTGACTGGATTTTAGAGAGAAGGAACCCTGATTCGAGAGCGTGATGCCGCCCCCTGCAGCCCCGAACCCGGGACCGAGCCTGCCCCTGCATGTGTCCTGACCGGGAATCAAGCCAGCCGGCGACCTTTCGGTGCCCAGGACGGTGCCCAAACAGCGGAGCCACCCCAGCCGGGACTCCGCTCTCATTTCTAGCTGAGCGAGACTGAAACTCACAAATATTAAAGACAAAGAAAGAATTTTAGAAAAGCAAGATAGAGAAAGAAAGTTACCTACAATGGAGCTCCCATTAGACTGACAGCTGATTTCTCAATAAAAACCCTGCAGGCCAGAAGGGAGGGGCATAAAGTGTACAAAGTAATGCAAGGCGCGGGTCTGAACCCAAGACTACTCCATCCAGCAAGGCTATCATTCAAAATTGAAGGAGAAATTAAGAGCTTCACAAATAAATAAATAAGCTAAAGGAATTTACCACCACCAAACCATCACTACAAGAGATGCTGAAGGGACCATTGTAAGAAGAAGAAACAAAGAGAAAGAGAGAGGAACAGAGGTATAAAATATAAATGGCAACAAATATCTATTGGAGGATTCCAAAATGGTGGCAGAGTGAATGGAAGCTACACAGACGATCTCCCAGGACCAAACTGAAATTACAACTAAAATAAAAACAGATCATTGGAAAAAAGCAACAGAAGCCCTGACCGATTTGGCTCAGCAGTTAGAGCATCAGCTTGAGGTCCGGAGAGGCCCAGGTTTGGTTCCACTAAGGGCATGTACCTCAGTTGCAGTTTGTCCCCGGCCCTGGTTGGTCGTGCAGGTGGCAGCCACTCGATGTGTCCCTTTCATGTTGATGTTTCTCTCTCTCTCTCTTCCTCTCTCTCCCTCCCACACTGTCTGAACAAAAAATGAAAAAATGCCCTCAAAAGAGGATTTAAAAAAAAAGCAACAGCAAAGCAGCTTGCTGCCGACCTCACACGCGTGGCACTTGAACGAATCTGTCCTGGGAAATGCATCTGAAATGTGATGTCAGCCCCAGGGCAGGGCTCAGCTCCACGGGCAGTACTTGGTGTGAGTGACCTTCGGTGATGTTACACGTGTTCCCACAGGATCCGCGATGCTGCCCCCCTCAATCGCTTTCACTGAAACACTTCTAAGAGGCATTGGTTGGAATTCAGTCGAAAGCATAGCGTTCTGCCAGCAAAATACCTTCCAGTCTGAGCTCATTCCACGGGGACACTTGCATTAACCAACCAAAACAATCGAAGCCAGACCAACCCTCCCGAGGCCCTGGGGTGCTCCTGCCTCTCGCAAGGCCTGGCCCTGGGGTGCTCCTGCTCTCAGACGACGGTAAATCCACCAGGAGCTCAGCACTGCGCAGACCCATCAGCGCCGCCCTGGAGCCAGCCCGTCCGCCCCCAGCCAGCTCCTGTGCTGACAACGTCCTGCAGGGGGCGCTCGCTCTGCTCCAGGGAAAACCCTTCCCCTGGACGAAGTTCCCTGCAGACACCGCAGGTCACTCCTGTAAGAAAGACCTGGTCTGCACGGCCGGCCTCCTGGGCGTCTGAAGTCCTGAAAACCAGCAGGAGCACTGGTGTCTGGCTGGCAGACAACGGACAAGAGAACCTAAAAAATTCCCCAGGAGAGAATTCCCCGAAACACAGACGGGGGAGCAGGTGGGGGCTGGAGGAGCGCAGGGATGAGGGCTGCCTGCCCGTCCCCCGAGGAAGCTGTGGCCGAGGACTGAGTCTCTAGAAAAGAGGTTCTTAACTTGGGACCCAGGGGTCTCCGGATGGGTCATGGGTGTCCTTCGAAGGACATGAAATGACGAGCAAAACTAATCTGAGAGTTCAGCTCCTTGGAGCGGAGGACTGACCACTGACCACTAGGGCCAGAGTGGTTCTCACGGAGCTCACCGGCCGTCCACCCGGCACCGCGTCTGCCTTACGGGATTGTCTGCGGAACTTCAGGACCATGCGACAGATACTCCCAAAGCATAAATGACTGACATGATACATAGTTTCAGACTGTGAGTTAGGTAATTACCCAGACCGCGAGGGAGTAACCATTTACGCGAGGGAGTAACCATTTACCACCACAGATCCAAGGAGAGAATATTCCTCTTGAATAGATTTGGTTTCTATGTATTACCGATTATTTCCTAAATTTTAACCTTGCAAACCTTAATTTCACTGAAATAGTAATAAAAGGTAGGGGCTGATATAAAAATATCAACTATTTTGCTGGGAGGGTCTGGGGGGGGATTACGTAATGAGCACTGAGACCAATATAGGAGAGAAAACAGAAGGCTTTATGCATCGTAAAATTCTCTCAAAGGTCAAACCCGAAATGAGGTGTGGGAATAAACGAGTATATTCCAGCATACATTCAAAAATGTCCTGTATTTACGTAAAATTCCATCCAGGCAATGCTGGAGGACTTTGCTAATCAGAATGGCTGAATGGCAACCACTTCCAAGTAGGTTAAAATACTTGCTCGTGAAATATGCCCAATAGAGGGGGGACGTTCTCTGCTGTTACAACGGAAATTTTGAAATGACACCCACAAGCACTGAAGTTATCTGAGCAGATACAGACTGCTATGCCTTGTTTAAAGAGGCGAGTCTATTTAATAACTCTTCACAGAGATAAAGGGGGAGAAAGCATTTCGAGTCCAAAGATACCCATGTTTAAATTCTAGCGTCTGGGGTGATGGGCAGGACTGTGAACCCCCTGGGACCCCAGATTCTAGATCCGGGACTTGCTGTCAATGATGCTTTCTCACCAAGGTTGTCCTCGGAATTACGATACTTGCTAGACCATTTACCAAAATCAAGTGAACGGTTAAGGTTTCCTGTAGGTTTTAAATGGGAGAACATTTAAAATATTGGTAATAACACTGAAACTGTGGGTGACGGATTAGAATTAAATCAACCTGAATGATCTTCTTTAAATCATTTCCCACTATAAAACTCTACGTCACGACCTTGAAATCCCAATGCCCTTTAACACAGACAAACCAAATACATTTATAAAGTATAATAATATCAATATCTGATCTCCTCTTTCGTAAAGAATCCTGACCTGTCAGTACCCCAACAAGAGATCTAAGAGAAAGGGAAGAAGGAACATAAAGAAGACACACCTCCCACTTGATAATCATTTCTTTGGGCTGAGACGCTTGAACCCTTATGTTCTGTGGATTCTTGTCTGGAGCTGAAAAATCACAAGCATTAAAATTATTTTTGCCCCTGTACGGTCCCCAGGCAAATCATCACATCATCCCCCACATGAAAAACATAATTAAAGAACTGATATATTTATTAATTTCTGTCCAGCTCAGTGCCTAAAAAGATTAAGGTAGCATTATTGAGATACAATTGACCTGTGACATTGTATAAGTTTAAGGTGCACAATGTGATGATTTGATGTAAGGATATATACGAACACAGACACACATTTTATATTTGTATGGGTATACATATTTGCAAAATGATTACCTCAACAAGATTAATCAACATAATTTCGTAAGGCCGCTTTACAACATATCTTTCATTTAAAGGGGCAAAGCTGTGTTCTTGGCGTTGTTGCAATTACTCCATGGAGTGTAGGGGGTTTGCGCTCACATACCTTCGTTTGAAACTGCTCTTTAAATTTCAAACCTGAATTGTAACATCCTAAACCTTCTTTTTAAAAAAACGTGTTTTAATTCAAACCTACTTTCCTTTTTCTACTAGAACCGTGACTAGAAAGGTGCGTTGAGCCGATCTGTCTCTCAGCTAAAGCAATGAGACATCAGGGCTTTGCATCAGCCGCCAGGTTTAGGAGCAAGACCGGGGCGAGCAGGGGCGGCCCTGGAACATTCCGGATGGCCCGTTTCATCAGAAAGGGCTAAGCAGAAAGTTTCCTGCCGACTTCAGCTGATGTCCAGATCACCCCGGGGTCTGGTTCAGGTATTACCTGTATTTGCTTTTCCTCAGTCCTGAAAGGGAATTCTATCCTAGCTTGTTTATTTCAGCCAGGGTGGAAAAATAGGGTTACAACCTCGGGCGTGCCTCGTGGCAACTCAGTAACATGTCAGCACCATCGTTCTTGGGATTTATGCAAAAAAAAAAAGAGTGTCTTGGGATTTACACAGATACTGGGATACAACATATAAACTAGACGCGTAAAAGGAGCGATGTTTGATCCCCTGAAAACGGAGCAGGGTGCCCATGAGGACTCAGTTTTATTTCAGGAGGCGGAGCCCTGACTTCCTGCCCACACCCTGAACTGGGACTGGGACTCAGCTGGTGTCTGATTCTAACCTGATTCTTAGTATCAGAAATCAGTTTCTCCGTATCCCTCCCGGCTGACTTCTGCTCTGTGCCCCGCATGGCCGTCCCTCTGAATGAGGCCGTGGGGTTTGAGTATTCTGTGTGTTGCTCGTTTCCAGAACTTTCCGAGCTCTGTCTTGGGAAACATCTGAAATCACAGACCCCTCTGGCAACTCTCTTTGGAGACTGACATGTTCGGTGGGGGACGGGACGTGGACACCCACCTGCGGGCGGAGTTTCGTGATGGTCGGACGGCCTGCTGGGGGCGCTGCTGCCCACCTCGTTCACCGCGATGACCCTGAACTGGTACCTCACGTAGGGAGCCAAAGGCAGCAGGGCCGTGGTCTCCGCCCCGGGGACCGTGGTCAGCTCCTCCCACCGGCCAGGCTCCTCCCTGTTCCCCTCAAATTCCACCACGTACTCTGCGGAAGCAGCACAGGGGGCAGGTCAGGGCGGCCACACACCCTCGAGCAGCAGGCTCCCCAGGGCAGCCGGCCAGCGTCCGCGGGGCGAGCGCCCGTGTCCCAGGCCGTCCCTACCGCTGATGTTGCTGTTGTGCTTGTCCCCAGCCTCCCACGTCAGCCGGACGCTCCTGTCCTGTCGATCCGACAAGCGCAGGTTTTCCGGCGGGTCCGGAACATCTGGCCACAGACGAGAGGTAAAGGTGAGCAGGTAACGGTGAGCACGCAGTGTCTGCGTTCCCGCCCCTGGCTCAGGCACCGGGCGGCCTCCCCCCTCTCTGGGGAGCCCCCTCCGGCTCGGTGACCCATGGGCCCCCAGGCTGTGCCCTGAAGGAAGGGCCGGCCAGCTCTGAGCTCAGGCCACAGCATCGCTTTCCTTGGGGGGTTTCCCCGGCCTGGGGAGGAGTATCCCAAGGGGAGGTTTGCCACCGAAACGTTTTGACAGAAACTGGAAATTTGAGTTGGTCCTGACACATTTTAAGGGGGTTAAAGTAGTGGCATTTTGGCTGCTTTCACAAGAAAAGCAACAGTAACAAGTCAGCCCCAGTGACCTTTCTTTACAATTCATTTCCAAAGTCCCACGTGCCCCCAGGAGAGGAGGGGAGGCTGGTCCACCCTGGGCCGTGCTGCAGCCCAGACAGGACTGTCCCCCCGCTCAGCAGCTGCCGGCGAGGCCTCCCCGACAGATCACGGCCTCGCCCACCCGGAGGGGGCAAGTCCTTTTCTAAAACATGCTCAGTGTCCGTGGCCTGAGGTCAAGGCCTTAAATAGGAAATTATCGTCCGGTTTCCGAGTCTGATCTCTGGGATGATGCCCCCGGCACACGCAGGAGCCCTGGTCTGAAGTCGCCGGCCACGCCGCCCTGACCCCGGTCCCCGGGATTCTGCGGGGCTGGGACCCCCGGGCTGCGGTGGATGCGTCAATGATCTCCTGACGGACTGTACGGGACGGCTTTCGAAGGCAGCTTCTGCCGGAAGTGGGTCAAGCACGTGCTTTAAAAACCTGCTGCCCAGCCCTGGCGGGCAGCTCAGTTGTTGGAGCGTGGTCCCCTGTGTGGGATGGTCCTGGGTTCGAGCCCCGGCTGGGGCAGGTACCGAAGGCAACCGATCGACATCTCTCACATGGAGGTTTCTGTCTGTGTGCATCTCTCTCTCTCCTTCCTCCCTCTCTGGAACCGATAAGTAAAACTAAAAATAATGTTTTCAATAAATAAAATAAAATACAATAAAAACTTTTCCAGGAAAAAGAGTCTTTGAGATGCTACGCCCAGTCCGTCATGCGTTACTTTCTGTTACAGGGATCGGAGACTTAAACCCAGAGACTGTCTGAAAAAATGAGAGCGTAAACTCCACGAAGTGGTATAGAAAACACAGCCCAAGTCTTGAACGCTTTTTATCTCTATTCTCTGAGTAAGTGGGCCTTGCTTCCTACCCAACACCCCACCCCTGCGTCTGCGGGTGAATTCGGGGTAACCGCCTCAGTGACAGTCGGGGGCGCACACTGCTTTCTAACTAGGATCAAGACCCCTCCCTCCTGGGCCCTGGCGGCTCGGCCTGTGCCAAGGACTCTGAGCAGGACTCTGACGCCACCGCCAGGCGCCCACGCCGACCCCCGCTTCCCATCTCCACTCCTGAGCCCCATTCTCCGCACCCCAAAAGGGGGCTGGAGGGCCCGGAGCCCCAGCCCGCCCCAGGATTCTTGGCTGACAGCCTGGCCTGCCTCCCACTGAGCCGGGCAGCTACCCAAGGAGGAAAAGGAAATTAAGCGTTAATTAACATCTCTAAAGCAGAGGAGGAGAACTGTTTGAAACTGGGTTACTACTAATTGAAAAATTCAAACTAACAGTCTCTGCTCCAGGCTCCAGTAACCACCGCCGCCTGCGCCCTGACGGGAGGAAGGAAGGAACAGACGTGCGCTCACCCAGGACCGTGAGGTGAGTCCTGTCCACAGCACTGTCCAGCGCCGTGTGGGCGGAGCAGGAGTAGACGCCTTGGTCCTGCAGCGTGACGTTGGAGATGGTCAGGCGAGCCCCGTCAACAGTCACCCTGCGGGGAAGAGGCACCGGATGAGGGAGGACACGGCACAGAAACGCAGGTGCCCCCAATGCACCCCACTCACGCGACAGCGAAACAACACAGACGTCACACAATGCAAATGTTCTCAGAGAAAATTGCAGTTAAAACCGAGGTCAAGCACCCCCACACACACACACACACACACGTGTCCACACCACGTAAAAGGGGCTGCTTGGTCTTGTTTTGTTTGTCAGGCGCAAACCCCCCCGCAAAGCCTGGCCCAGCGCTGCGCCCCCGCGCGTCTGAGGAGCACGGGGTGCCCACGGCAGCGGGCGCCTATCTGAAGGGTTGTCACCCACATGTGTGTTTGGGGAGCCACCCGGTCGGCTGGGCTGTTTGTCACACAGGCAGCTTCTGCGGCTGCAGGACGAGGGGACCGGAGTGTCCCGGAGGGACAAGCCCTGTTCTGACCAGTTTCTGTTTCTCCAGCCTCCAGCCCCAGCAGGGGGCACACGCGAGTCTCTGACAGCAGCTGAACTCGGATTTATCCGAACGGCAGGTGGCAGACGCTCCCTTCGTTCCTGAATCTCTGCTGGGCTGGCCTTGCTTCTTCCCTCCTCCCACTTCGTAAGGGAGTTCAGGACGCGGACACGCACAGATCGTGACGTTCACGTGTCTCTGTGCTGTGGACACACCGAGTGGGTTTTCACAACAGTCTCATTACGTTTGAAATGCATTCTCAGCGGCTGGCTCTTGAGCTGAGATAACGGTCGTCCTTGTGGGGAGACGTCTGCAGTGGAGGGTTAAAATGTAGAACGCACACGAACTGCTGAGAAGCTCGAATTGTAGAAAAATCACTCCGAAGGGTCGTCCATCCGACCACGTCCTACCGACGAAGGGCCTCTAGCTCCCGCGGGGCACCTGGACGGCTCGCCAGCTGGCACCCCATGGTCTTCCCCTGGGGACCCGCACGACTCAGCTCAGGGGAGCCCACAGCTCCTGTGGGCTCCGTGTCCGTTTGGTACGACTGCAATGCACACACTGGTGGTTTTGGAGAGTTCACCCTCTCGGATGAAGGAATTTAGTCCCGTCACCTCCTCCCGCCCGGCTCAGCGGCAGAGCGAGGGAGGGGCCGACTCCCAGCTGTCAGGCCCGGGCCTGTGGCAGACACTGCGTCTCCCTCTTCCGTGAGGAGCCTCCCGTGGTCTGTGCTCAGCACCTCCCCACGCCGCCCCCTCCTCCCCGCTGTGTGTCTCTGTTCTCTGTACACGGGCTGAAGGCAAACGCGTACTTGCCAAGACCCTTCGGCGGGAGTGAGTCCAGGAAAGATCTGGGGTCTGCTGGGAGGGGCTCCCATGGGCTGGGAGGTGGCGGGACTGGTCACTGTCCCCTCGGGCAGCGTGAGCAGTTGGGGCTGCTCCCAGCAGCACCCCGGGGTGGACCGGCGGAGGGACGGACTGGTCTGCACACCTGCATCGCACCTGAGCGCAGGTGACTGAGAGTCCTGAAGGTCAGGGAGCAGCCCCTGCCAAGTGTACCTCCTCAGTCGCCCCAATGGTTTTGGGGGCCCCCAGCAGTAAATAAGCCTCAGACCCCTGTCGTGACTTGCTGAGTCACAAGAACAAGCAGACAAGCCCCGTCAGACCCTGAAGGCTGAGCAGTGTCCACGCCTGAACCCCCACCAGCATCCGCACCTGCCGTCCTCCGTGCCGTTGACCTCCAAGGCGACCCCCCCTCTGCTCCAGGACAGCCTCAGGCTCCCCTGCAAGTGCGCGTCACACGTGCTCACACAGTGCAGCTCGAGCGGGTGCGACTTGGGGACACGCGGGTTCCTGGGGGAAATGTGGACTTTCGTGGCATCTGCGGGCACCCAAGGGAGACGCTGGTTAGAACCACGGAGCACAGCTCACTGCAACCCACACCTGCCCTCCACCACGTGTCAGCACAGCAGTCAGGGCCGCGCGCTGCCGTCTCGCCGCAGCCTCCCACGCCACAGACCAGGGCCACTGTCCCACCCAGGCGGGCTGGCAGCAGGCACACGGGGTAGCAGTGAACAGCTCAGCGAGTGCCCTGCGTCCGGCCCAGGAGCCCAGGAGCCCAGGAGCCTGAGCTGACAGATGCCTCCCAGCGTAAGAGCAGCCTCATGTCTCCTCCCAGCCTCTGGACGCGGGATCCTGTGTGAGCTCGTGTGGGCCCGTGTGGGCCCATGTGGGCCCGTGTGAGCCCGTGTAGGCCTGTGTGGGCCCACGTGGGCCGGTGTGAGCCCGTGTGGGCCTGTGTAGGCCCGTGTGAGCCCGCGTGGGCCCATGTGATCCTGCGTGGGCCTGTGTGAGCCCGTGTGAGCCCATGTGAGCCCATGTGGGCCCGCTCTGCAACCCCAGGGCTCAGAAGGACGTGTACGCAGCAGCCCCACTGCCTGCTTGTTGACTGTCTTGTTGAAGGCGTCACAGTCAATAGTATTTAAAGGCTAATCAGCCCTGGCCAGTGGCTCAGTGGTTAGAGTGCTGGCCCGTGGACCAAAGAGTCATGGGTTTGACTCCGGTCAAGGGCACATACCTTGATTGCGTTCGTCCCTGTCCCTGGTCGGGTCGTGTGGGAGGCAGCTAGTCGATGTGTCTCTCTCACATCGATGTTTCTCCCTCTCTACCCCCACTCCACCTGAAGATACATGGAAAAATATCCTCAGGTGAGGATTTTAAAAAATGAATAAATAATAAAAAAATGAAAGCAAGTCAGTGGGGGAAAGAGGTGAAGGGTTAAGAAGCACAGGTCAGTAGCACAGGAAGGAAGTACAGCTCAGGGAATGTAGTCAAGAATATTGGAATAACTTCGGTGGTGCCAGGTGGACACTGGAAATATCGGGGGGACCCCTTTGCTAAGCACGTGATGTCTGACCATAGGCTGTCCACCGAAACTGATACACCACTGAGTGTGAACTGTAACTGAAAAGTAAATTAAAAAAGAACATAGGGGGGAGGGTGTGGGTGCAGGTGCAGTTTGAGGAGTCGGCCAGGAATCGATCGTCGTGAGGCTGGTGGTCGTGAACAAGATCAGGGTTCACTCCCCAAATACTTCTGACCAAGTTCGAAATTTCACATAAAAACCTTCCCTAATCTTTTCTTCCTGTAGAAGTATGAAGCTTGCCCTGGCCGGATTGGCTCAGCGGTTACAGCGTCGGCCTGCGGTCCAGAGAGACCCGGGTTCGGTTCCCGCTGAGGGCACGTACCTCGGTGGCAGTGTGTCCCCGACCCTGGTCGGTCGTGCGGGTGGCAGCCCCTCGATGTGTCCCTTTCACATCAATGTTTCTCTCTCTGTCTCCCTCCCACTCTATCTGAACAAAATATCAAAAAAATGTCCTCCGTGAGGTTAAAAAAAAAAAAAAAAACTGGACACGACACTTGAAGACGCAGGGACATCGGAGGGAAGCAGACGTCATGAGAGAAAGTGTGTGGGCTGCAGAGATACGGTCCGCGGGCGACGTGGGCAGAGGGAGCCAGGTCCTGGGAGGAGCAGGAGGAGAGGGGGCAACGGGAGGGGGAGCGCGGGGAGGGAGCTCGAGCGTCACCCTCTGGGTGGACACGGGGATCAGGACACGCCCCCCCCAGTGGGCAGTCAGAGGCCATGACACCGACTCCGCCCCCCCTAGAGCCCAGTGCCTCCCCCACCGCGTGGACTGCAGGCCTTTCTCGCCTTCCTGTCTCCCTGAAAAGGGCTCTCTGAGCAATTTTAAAATCGAAATCCGAGTGAAGCCCAAGAGGCTATTCACAGCTTCCCAGGACTTTGCTCTGAAGAGGAAGAACCTGCTCCCAGAGGACCAAACCCTCCCAGCTGCGCCCCAGGCTCTGTGACCTCCACGCTACCCGCTTACTTGTGGAATTCTTTTTTTTGTATTGATCTTCAGACAGAGCGGGAAGGAGAGAGGGAGGAAGAGAGAGAGAGAGAAACATCGACGAGAAAGGGACACATCGAGTGGCTGCCACTCACACGACCAACCAGGGCCGGGGACAAACTGCAACCAAGGTACATGCCCTTAGCGGGAACCGAACCCGGGTCTCTCCGGACCACAGGCCGACGCACTAACCGCTGAGCCACACCGGCCAGGGCTACTTATTAAATTTTTAACTCAAAGACCTGGTTACTTGTCACAGTGCTTTGAGTTGGTTATTGAAATACAGGATCATCACAGAAATGCCGAAATAGGGCATTTTCAGAGATTGCGCGTCGTCCCAAGGACACCAAGCTCCCTCTTGGACGGTCCAGACCACACCCGTGGCCAGCACGGCCTCTGCCCCTCAGGACGGTCTCGGGACCAAACACCACCTGGGACTCGGCCAACAGGGACGCTCTTACGGCAAGTGCTCAGGTCAAACCACCTCCTTTCGGGGAAACGGAGACCAGGGGGGCCCGGGGAGCATCGCAAAGTGAAAACAACCGAATTACTTCGGACGTCCAAGCTGGCGGTGACCGCTGTCTTCCCCTCGGCGTTCTCCACCCAGCAGGAGTAGGCGCCGGCGTCGTCCTCGGTGGCCCCGCTGACCTGCAGGGTGCCGTTCCTGTGCACGCGGTACCGCGGGCCTTCCAGAGGCTTGGCCTCGTCCGCCTTCTGCCTGTGGACGGAAGACGCAGAGTGGGCGGCCAGCACAGGCCGCTCCAGGGCCCTCACACCGGCCTCTTGGGAGCTCAGCCGACCTGGGGTTCACATCTCCCCCAAATGTTCTACCTCATCTGCCCACCGTGTGCCTGGGGAACTGGGGTCCATGCCCCATGCTCTGCTCTAGCCTCGGGCGGCGCCCTGCCCTGGCCTCAGAGCTGATGCGTGTTTTCTGGCTTCTAGCAGGTGAGCTTCCTGGTGAATGGTCCTTGTGGGGTGCTGAGGGGGGCTCGGAGCCCGAAGGGATAACAGCCCTTGGCAGCCGCTGGGCTGGGGGACACCAGTCATTCACAGGTGTCGTAGGCCGGGGGTCTTCCCCGTCCTGGGGACCAGGGTTCCGTCTGCCCTGTGAACCCCAGTCCTCCTCCTCACAGTCCCCCACATCCAGGATCTGCTGTGCGTTAGCAACAGGGTGTGGTGGAGCTGAGACCTCACGGGACAGACGGTGTCCCCACCAGCCCTGTCTCCAAATTCATTTGCAGGGTCACTGCAACCCTCTGCTTTCTCCGATCTGCCCACATGGGGACACCCCCGTCTTGTCCCCGCCTCCAGGGCAGGGGTGGTGGCTGGGGAGCTCCCCACTCCTCCCGGGCACTGGGTACGAGCCACCACGTGGACCTAGTGTGGCCAGTCCAGTGACGGACGAAGAGACACGGGGCCCACGGCTGACACTCTCGGAAGGCAGCGGTGCCTGCGGCAGCCGACTCACCAGGACACCGTCGCCTCGGGCGACGCGAAGAACTCGCAGTGTAAGAACGCGCTGGACCCGACCACGGCGCCGTAGCCCTGCCCGTCGGCCGTCTGTATCAGCGGGCGGATATCTGCCGGAAGTCACACGGACAGTCACAAGCATGTGAGTGAGAAAGAACAGGCGCATGTTATTATTATTATTATTAAAGTTTTTTCTTTATTGATTTTAGAGAGAGGAAGGGAGAGGGAGAGAGAGACAGAAACATTAATGAGAGAACATGGACTGGCCGCCTCCTGCACGCCCCCTACTGGGGATGGGCCCACAGCCTGGGCATGTGCCCTGACCAGGAATTGAACTGGTGACCTCTTGGTGCAGGGTCAGCACTCAACCACTGAGCCACACCAGCCAGGAGAACAGTTGTATATTCATATGTTCTTTATCTGGCCCTGTGGACACTGTAAAGAGGGAACAGACAGATCCCAGTCCAGGTTCTCCAATTAGAAGTGTCCAAGTTCAATGCCTGTAGACAGCGTCATGCCCAAATGCAACACAAGGGGGCTCTGGCTGCCCCCGTGAGGCCCGCGTCAAGAATTCCTGGGCTGGAGAGTGAGGCCTGGACACCGTCACTGGGCTGGGCAGGTGCACAGCCGCCCGGGAGACACTCACCCACCACGTCGATGTTGGCGTTGGCCAGGATGGTCCCGTGCAGGTTGGAGGCCTCGCACTGGTACACGGCCGTGTGGTTGGGCCGCAGGTCCGTGAAGCTGACCTCCCCGGGGGACACGACGTCGCCGGCAAAGGGATTCTCTGCAGGAGAGGAAAGGATGTCAGTTTGATTAAAAAAAAAATTGGACCTGAAATATTTATGCACCCTCTATTAAACGTGTCACACAGTATTTATATTTTAAGGCCAGCTTAGGGTGAGTGATAGCTCCTTGCATCTCATTCTCTCGTCTTTCCGAACACCGACCACGGATTTTCATTCCCAGACCTTCTGCAGGGTTAGTGTTCCGGGAAATGGACGTCTGTGCCAAAGCATCGAGTGTCTCCGGCGCCCTGCCCTCCGTGGGCATGCCACGGGTAAGAGGTGGGAAGTCCCACTGTGGACTGAGTGCCACTGCCCCGCACACAGGGCCCCTTGACGCCGGGCGCCCCCCGGCCGCTGCCCCGTCTCCATCCCTCCCCTTCTGTTCTACCCAACACCCTCCACCCAAGGGGTCTCATTTGCTGTCTAACCCGTTAATGTACGTAGCTTATCTATTTCATTTTCTTTCTTGAGAGGCTCATTTTTCTAAATTTTGGCAATAAATTCTACTTAGCTCCTGACCCAGGCGGAACAGCTCTTGGATGACACTATTTTAACAGGTCAGGTGCATGTATGGGCATGGAAGACGTCCGTGGGTGTGGCCTTATCTCGTTAACTTCGCTCAGAGCCCACTGGCCCAGGCCCAGGCGGCCACCGTGGAGGTGAGGGGGCCGGTGTCGGAGCGGGCAGTGCGAGGGCCCCTCCTGGCCGCCTGGCCGACTGCAGGTCCCGCCCGCCCGCCCGTGAGGCTGCTCACATCCCGGGGTGTTGGTGGAGGGCAGAGATGTCAGGGTGTCTGGTTAAAGGACGTGCCAGGGTCAGTCGTGAATCTGCCTGCGATTTTCTTACTGTGTCTCCACGGATGCAAAGCAGTGATCACAGTCAGTTCTGGGTGACAGCCAACACCAGCTGCTCCATACGAACGTGGGTACCTTCTTCCACCTCTGTCCCCCCAGGGTCAGGAGTGACCGTGTTTCTCCTCTGAGCGTGAACCCCGTGGGGCGGGACCCTGCCTGTGTGTGGTCTGTGTCCCCGGCACGGACCCGGCAGCTGTCACTTCCGGGATGACGGAGACACACTTGTGGGGTGGCACTGTTCCTGGGGGTCCCTGCAGCAGGGGGGAGCACAGCCCTCGGAAGATGCCTGTCCACCTTCTCGTCTGTCCCTCCTGTGAGTGTGTCCCCTACCAGGGCAGCAGGGCTTTGTGGGTGCGACCGTGACGTGGGGAGAGGATCCAGATCATCCCGTCACCCAGGCCGGCCCCGCCCAGGGCAGTGGGTCTCCGGCTGTGGCCGAGGAGGTGGACCACGGAGACGCAGAAAGTGGAGAGCAGAGGCCTGGCCTTGAAGATGGGGGAGGGAGCCAGGAGCCGAGGGAGCCCCAGCCTCCAGGAGCTGATGGGACTGAAGTCAGTTCTCTGCCAGGACCCCCGGGGATCCCTGGGGTCTCCCCGGAAAGGAACACAGAGCCCCCGCTGACACTGACTTAGCCAGGGCGGCTTCTGCCGTGGGATTGGAGAATGATAAGTGTGCTCAGTGGTAGGCCACTGAATCTGCGGACATTCGTCACAGCAACAATGACAAGCCAGCACAACCCTGCCGAGTGTTCTATCGCCTCCTCTGCCCAGGAGCGAAGGCAGTAGCTGTGCCAAGTCCTCGGCCAAACCCTCCCCGGTGCCGCGAAGCCGTGTCCCCCGCCCTGCACCCCTGGCCCACACTGCGTCCCAGCCGCCGCCGCCCATTTCGCTTACCGTCCATCGGGGAGCCGTTGACTCGCCACTTGATGGTGGGCTTGGGCTCTCCCTCTGCCTCGCACAGCAAGATGCCACTGGTCCCCGTGCTGTACACGCCACTCTGGGGCTTCTTCGTCCAGTGAGGGGGCTCTGGGAACAAAGTCAGGGTTTCTCAGGGGTTTCATCTGCATCAGAGGGTGGGCGGAGGCCCAGGCCTGCACTTCCGGGACACACCAGCAGGTGGCAGACACGGCAGGGGCTCAGGGCTGTGTCAGGCCAGGGTGAGTGTGTGTGTGTGCGTGTGCGTGTGTGTGCATGTGTGTGCATGTGTGCGAGCGCGTGAGTGCATGTGTGTGTGTGCATGTGTGTGAGTGCATGTGTATGAGTGTGTGTGTATGCATGTGTATGAGTGCATGTGTGTGAGTGTGTGTGCATGTGTGTGCATGTGTATGAGTGCATGTGAGTGTGTGTGTTCATGTGTGTGTTAGTGTGTGTGTGCATGTGTGTGAGCGCGTGAGTGTGTGTGCATGCATACATGTGTGCGTGCGTGCGTACATGTGTGTGTGTGCATGCTCGTGCCCGTGTGTGTTCTCACTTGGACGTCCAGCGTGACAAGAAACTCGACATGCCGAGGACAGCCGTCCACAGTCTCCCTCCGCCCAGGAGCCCTCGTGACAGCCCGGAGGAGGAACAGGCAGATGGCTGTTTCCTGCTGCTACAGCGTATTTTCAAGTAGCAGCAGGGAATTCAAAAACGCTGATATCAAAGAACCTTCTTAAATACAATGAACGTGTTCAGCACTTTTTCTCAATATTCCCTAATGAAAGGCTTGCAGCCTTCACGGTCCTGGCTGTAGCTGTTTATCTAGGAGCTGCAGTGTCTCCGGAAACAGTTGTGCTGAAAGGGGAGGGAGCCTACGAGCCAGGCCAGCTCTCTGCCCTCGGACAGCGGAGGAGCCACGTGTCCATCGCCCTGCCGGCGCCCCAACGTCACAACTCCGAGCCGGCGCCCTGCAGACCGAGGCGTTCTCTTTACTGCGCACACGCCGTCGGGTCTCGTCACCCGCGGACACCGCTGCGTCGGGAGCGAATCGAAGACTCGGAAGAAGTGCGGAGGGTTTGGCCAATCGGATCTCTGGGAAAACCGCACCGTCCCTGCAGGTCCTGGTTCCCCTGAGGGGTTGCTGGGTAACCCCTCAAGATGTTCTGAATTTCCATTTTTAGTCCAAAAGGAAAAGTCTTCAAAGGACACAGATATGTAAAATAAAAAATGTCATCTGACTGTCATTTTAAAGGAGGAAATACAAGTTACATGAAAAGAAAACAAAAAGCATACAAAGAGCCCTGGCAAGTTCCTCCCGGCCAGACAGGTGGCCTGTGTTGACTCCACGGGTGCGGACGTCCCTCCTGACCCAAGGTAAACGTCCTGGTCCTAACCTGCAGCCGGCACACATTTCATTTACCCGGCGGCAGTCAAGCTGCACAATGGACACCACTGTCCGCGGAGAAGGGTTTTCTTTTTCATACGTGTGTGTGCATTTTCCAGGGTATGTTTAACTGGTTTTTGTTTTTGTCTTTCATAAAACCTCATGAAATGAAACACCTGAGGTAGAGTTCCGAGGACATGAAAATGCTCCTATTTTCAACAGAGAGTTTTGGGAGCAGTAACGTTACCGGGACCTTGGGATGAGCCGCCCGGCACACTGACTGATTCTCTACGCTGACTGTGCATTTGAGGGCGGCTGGGCGATCTCAGAAGGTCTCGTCTCAAGAAGAGGAACGTGTGACTGTGGGTGCTGACGAAGAGTGACTAGCGGTACGGGGGTGACCAGAGGCCAATGGATATAAAGATTTCGACCACTGTGTTGTACACCTGCAAGGAATATATGTCGGTGAATCCTCAATAAAATAGTAAAATTAAGGGGATTACGTCACAAGGACGTTTCCCTACATCGTCACGTGCACTAAGGTCAAGATTTCGATCCCCTTCTCCTCCCGGGAATTTCATGGACTCCTTGGTGTCCACCTTCACACCCGTGGCCGTCAGGGCTGGGAGGGCCGACGTGGGCGCCTCATCCAACCCTCTCCCCTGTGGACGGAGGGCTGAGCTTCGAGGAGTCACCCGGCCTGCCCAGGTCCACGCGGAGAAGAAGCCCCTCCGCCCACGGCTCCGTGGACAGACCCACGGGGTGTGCAGCATGGAGACCAAAGCAGTGGTTGGCATTTCTCTGTCATTGCTATTTTCAGTGTGGGCCACGGAGAAGGACCAAGCCCACTGAAGCCACCGACGGTCCATTTCCGCTTCCGAATCCAAGGTCCCCCGTCATCCGCCAACTGACGAGAGGTTCTGCATACTCGCTGAACCATCGATAAACTTGACCTTCAACCTTCCTCGGGTCTCTCCAGAACTGTGCGGACTTTTCTTTTTATGCTTCTTGTCCCCGTGTCTCCTGGGGACGCAAGCCGAGGATGGCAGACTTGGCCACGGACGAGAGAGACTTGGTCTGTCCTGCTCCGTCGCCTTGAGCTGCCGCGACACTGTCCTCACCCAAAACCCAGATGGAGCCTCTCCCAACGGGGTCCCGTGGGGGCCCCGAGACCCGCGATCCCTGAAGGCCCAGGGTTACGCCTCCTGTGTCTCCTTGGGGGGGCACCGTGAGTGTGGAACCGAAATGACAGATCCTCAAAGATCCAGTGCACAGGCCTCGTCCGGGGAGAGGTGGCCTTGGACAGGTGAGCTGCACCAGCTTCCAGCCGGCCCCCCTCGCGCCGTCTGCTGAGGACCCGGCCACAGGGCAGAATCGGGGGTCGGGGTGAGGCTGGGGTTCACAGGGACCGAGAACAAACAGACCTGTTCCAAAATTAGACCGTGCGACCCTGTCCGGAAAGGTGAGAAACCGAAAAGGCTAAAATGAAGGCTCGAAAGAGAAACAAAAGGTTAAAATGGAAAAGTCTGAGAGAAACACCATCACCGGGTCTTATCCTAAGATATAAGGAAACTGACGTTAAAACTGTCCTCATGTTGTCCTCACTGTACATTAAAAATACGAGGTCGATGTTTCTTACGCTGGTGGCCGAGAGGCAAGGGTCTAACGGTTAGACTCCGGTGAGCAAGCCAACCAGAGACGCGTCCTCGGAAAGAAAACAGAAGGAACAGAAATCCTGGACCCTGGAGCACAGCCCATGGCTGCTTGTTAGCTGCAGACTCCTGTCTACTACATGTATTCTCAGTAAATAAAAACCGTTACACCTCCATTAAACCGGGATATAATTGTAACTGTTCAGAAATAGGTTGGTTACTTTAAAAGGAGGCTTTCTGAGGTCTAGCAATGACTGAACCGCATTTGAATTAATGATCTTCTAAAAGCCAAGACAGCTGCAGACACAGAGATGAACACAGAGGTGCACACAGAGGTACACACAGAGGTGCACACAGAGGTGCACACAGATGTAATCACAGAGGTGCACACAGATGTACACACAGAGGTGCACACAGAGGTACACACAGAGGTGCACACAGAGGTGTACACAGAGGTACACACAGAGGTACACACAGAGGTGCACACAGATGTACACACAGAGATGCACACAGAGGTACACACAGAGGTGCACACAGATGTACACACAGAGGTGCACACAGAGATGCACACAGAAGTGCACACAGAGGTGCACACAGAGGTGCACACAGATGTACACACAGAGGTGCACACAGAGGTACACACAGAGGTGCACACAGATATACACACAGAGGTGCACACAGAGGTGCACACAGATATACACACAGAGGTACACACAGAGGTGCACACAGAGATGCACACAGAGGTGCACACAGAGGTGCACACAGATGTACACACAGAGGTGTACACAGATACACACACAGATGTACACACAGACACTGTCTTTTATCACACAGAAAACTCAAAGGTCTCCCATGGTTCAAACACTGACAACGTCATTGGTGGCGGATTATTTTTAAATGATCAGTTCAGATGTGATTGTGGTCATATTTTGATTCCTGAATTTATAATGGTTTAGATGCCATTTTAATATACATTTTATATATATTTATGTTAATGTATAGATTTAATAGACTCTATATATATGTTATTTATATAAACTGCATATATAATAAATATAACATGTGCATTATTATAACATGCATAAATATTGTTAATATATACTTACATATTAGTTCTATGATGTTAATATGTTCAGTATATATTAATTATAGATTTCATATATTATATATGACATTGGAAGTTAATTATATATAATTTTGGACGAAAAGGGGCCACCCGCTAACCTGACAGGCTCAGGGGTGGGGGTCCCCTTGGCCAACTCAGCGACCTGACATGACCGCACAGGGTGGTCTGAAAACTTCCCAACTGACAGTGGGTCATGGGGGTGGTCCTGTCCCAGGCCGGTGTCTTCCCTGACAAAGGTCAGTCTTGACCTTAGCTGAGCCCATCGACTGTCTTTCTGCATCTATGATACCCCGTCTGTGGAATGTCAGAGTGACCCCCTTTTCCAGGCCCCTCGGGGCACCACCTCCCAGCAGAACGCAGACCTGTACACATTAACTGTCCTCCACCCACCAGTGTAAACGAAGCCTGTGTCTCTCCGTTTGTTTTTTATCCAGTCCGGGAGGTCTCCCCGCGTGGCTTTCTCCCACCCCCTAATCTACTCCCGGTGAATTTCACGTGACCCCTTCCGTCTACCCCTTTGATGCTGACGCATAAAATAAGCCGCACAACTGCCGCTCTCCGGAGCATTTTCTCACTCCTTCGAGGTTTCGCTTCCAGGCAGTGGTCGTCTGTTTGGCTCAAACGAGGCTGTGAGCGCTCTCTGCAGGTCTGGACGTTTCTTACGTCGACATGATAAATAACATAATCATGTGTGTCTACGTGTGAAATGTGCACAGACCTCTGGAACGAAGAGCGGCCCGGCCCACATCCTGGCTGCTGTGCAGAATTCCGCACATGACAGAATTTGCAGGAGCGTCTGCTCCCCATTGAGGCCGTCGCGGCTCCAATCACAGCAGAGACGAACCTCACAGGGGCGGACAGCACAGGCACAGCTCCGACCCGGCACGGCGGGGCCTTCAGCCTGGATGTGGCTTCCAGTTCACGGCCGCCCTGCCCTTCCCGTGTGGCCACGCCCGGTATTTCACTTGACTGAGCAAGAGACAGAGGAGGCGGGAGGAAGGTCCCGGAAGGCAGAGGACAGTGGACGGAAAGCGACCTGGCCGGTGCCTAGGACTGAGGAAGGCCGGGTCCATGCTGCGTCCACTCTTAACAAAGGACAGACGGGATCCGCAGAGCCCCTGGCAGGGCGACCTCAGGGCCAGCCAGGGGCCTCATTAAGAGGCAGGATTAAGCTTCCTAATAAAAACAGCATTTGCATCTCAATGGTGCTAATGGCTGTTTCGTGAATGGGGGGGACAATTTGCTCAGGAAACCTGTATTCCTGCAGTCAACATTTCCAATTGAGTAATTTGTTGTCCCTCCTTGACTTTGTTTTTTCCCAAACCTCGCAGTTCTACAAGCCTGCCTTCCAGTCAAGAAACCGTGGCCAGACTGTTAAAACATTCGGCTCCGGAAGCCACGCTCCAGCCTCTGGAGGGGTTTCCTGGAGTCAGCGGCCCGCCGGGCGCCGGCTCTCTGGGGTGGGCTCCCGGGCCCTGTGTGCACTGGCCGGCCTGGCGCACAGTGTGGCCGACGTACTGAGTCTCCAGGACGAAGATCATGGCCGACGGAAGCGTCTCCAGCCCTTCGTCTCTGAGCGCCTGGGTGAAGGAGCCCATGCCCAGCCAGGCCCCCCGTGTTCATGTCCCTGCGGGGCACCGGGCTTCCCTCCTCCCGTCGCTTTGTGGCTGTTGAACAAGAACCATGATTTTCCCATCGCGGCCTCCTGGTCCTCCTCGCCCGCCAGTCACGCGTGTGGGAGAGGTCTTGGGGACACCGTGATGCTCCCAACAGCGGCTGAACCAGTCACCTCGACATCTGCTCATGGGTGGCATTTGCATGGTGGCCGCCAACAGTGGCAGGGGCCAGACACAGTGTCCTCTGGGGACGTGAGCTTCAGGAGGTGACGGTTATGGGGACATAAACAAAGCCCCGGAGCACCAGTCCCTGGACAGAACCCTAAAAGGGACCGTTCCCTTCAGCACGAGGCCCACAGAGCGAACGCAGGTACGGCCCCGTCGTCACCACTTCACCATGCGCAGGAGACCCCGGCGCGGCCAGGCCAGGATACCGTCCGCGTCCATCACACTCCTGGATGACGGGGAGTCTGAGGTCCGCCCAGCAGGTGTGGCCCAGTCTCTACATTCTGGGGCCCCCTCGGTAAACGATGACATCACTGTCCACTTCTATTTTTTTTTATCCTCACCCGAGGACATTTTTCCATTTGTTTGTTCAGATAGAGTGGGAGGGAGACAGAGAGAGAGAAACATCAACGTGAAAGGGACACATCGAGTGGCTGCCACCCGCACGACCGACCAGGGCCGGGGACAAACTGCAACCGAGGTACATGCCCTTAGCGGGAACCGAACCCGGGTCTCTCTGGACCACAGGCCGACGCTCTAACCGCTGAGCCAAACCGGCCAGGGCCCATTTGCTTCTATAACACCACACACAAGCGCCCCACCACCATTGATCCAACTGCTTGGGCTCGTGGACAGGGAGCCGAAATATAACGGGTTCTGGCGCCTTTTGATGGAGAATTCATCTTCCACCACAGGGTTGATGACTCCAGCTCCCTAACTACCAGCATGAGCCTCACCTGAGCCCAAGCCGTGCGCAGAGACAGGGACCCAGGAACGAGAGCTCAGACCGGATTCGCCTGCTCGTCTCACGTGTGAAGAAAGTGGAGGCGAGTCATGGCGGACACGGCAAGTTAGTAACAGACGGGACCCGGGGTCGCGCTGCCCCCCCCGCCCCCAACGCTTCCTTCCGCAGCAGAGTTCACCGCCCCTCAGGTCTGACCGCGGGCGGCACCCGGGTACATCGCACCAAGAATCTTCCCTGTGACACGGGGACCAGGTTTCACGGCACAAATCCGGGGAGTCACTGTGCCTCTCCCCGATGACATCCTCTCGTCCCTTCTCTGCGGTCTGTGGGGTGAGTGGCGGAGCAGTGGCTGATGGGATACCCGGTGCCCAGTCTGCAGCCCAAAGCGGGAACAGCGTCCCTGTTTTAACATACACGCTTCACACGCGTGAACCCCTATTTCTGGCGATCAGAAGGAAAGCAGGTCCACGGAGGGGCACACGTACCTTCTACTGTGACGTGGAAGTCGTGCGTGGCCGACCCCAGGGAATTGCTGGCCGTGCACCGATAGTTTCCTTTGTCCTGGAAGGAGACGTTCTCTATCTTCAAAATCTTGCCGTAACTTTCTTTTGTTTCTCTTCCTTTTGGTAAATCGCCCCCTATTTTTTCCCAGTCAACCTGTGGAGTTGGTCTGAAACAAAATAAATAAATGACAAAGGTTTTTCAAAGGGCAAAATAAAAGGGAAGAACCCCCACGGGACACAGGCCTCCTCAGAGTGTTTTCTCGTGGGCCCCCGGGGTCCGACCGAGTACATCCGCATCCCGGGGCGCAGACCTGCCCGCCCCGCCCACGTGCGTGCGCGCGGGCCCCCCAAGTCTCTGCCGTCACCTCGGGTGAGAGGACCCAGGGGGAGCCCGGGCCGGGACCCCTGAGCGGCTTTCCCGGGGTTGGGAGGACAGGAGAGGGGGAGGGAGCCCCACATCCCTGGCCCAGAAAGATGGGATCACGCAGTCAAAACAAACAGGAAAAGAAAAAACACAACAAAATCCGAACTGATCATGTGTCGCCCGCCACAGGGTCACTTTCTCCACCTTCGTAAGGGGACGGGGGCGGGAAGGGGTCAGCCGGGTTCAGGAAAACACGAGATCGGCCACGCGGGCGGCAGGACCCTCGGTGCTGGAGAGTAAGCACCGTGCTCTGAGGCTGCTCCTGACCGGCGTCCGCCCGTCTCTCCGCGGGGTGAAGGCGACAGCGCGGGAGACACATGGTGCTGCCGCCTCCCCTCACTGGCCTCTTCACTGTCCACTGCGCTGCGTCTCTGAGCTCGGGCGGCGGGTGGGGACTATGGCCGTTTCCCAGGAGGGTCTGCAGGCCCAGGCAGTCAATTCATCTGCGCAAGGTCACGGGGTGGTGAGGCGCACGGCGGAGGGGACTCTCAGGTCATTCTCTCCGTCACCACAGGCCACACATCTGTGCTCTCCTCCTCCTCCCCCAGCAGGACACCGGGAATCTGTGCCCAGAGCCAAGGAGCTGGTTCTCGGTCGACAGCGAACACCGACCTCGCGCGGCTGCATCACCGTCTCAAAGGGTGTCTGCTCACAGTGGCTAAAGGAACACACGGCCTTGCGGACAGACATCGGCCGTGCGGACAGACATCGGCCGTGCGGACAGACATCGGCCGTGCGGACAGACATCGACTGTGCGGACAGACATCGGCTGTGCGGACAGACATCGGCGGGGAAGGCGAAGACCCCTTGACCTGCACAGATTTGCTGCCTCCTCACCCCTCCAGGCCCAGGTGCTTCCTGCCCCCGACTGGCGCCCCAGCTGACCTCGGGCCAGGGCAGAGGGCGCAGGGCAGAGGGCGCAGGGCAGAGGGCGCAGGCAGGCGGAGCTGGGCGCACCCGTGAGGCCCGGCCGAGCTCACCACCGAGCGGGCGCCCGGCCCCTCCAATGGCCTGCTTGTCACCCATCTGTCCACGTGGCCCCCCGCCACGGCGCGGGCTGCCCTGGACCTCAGTCCCTCCCGAGCCGGAGTCTGTCGTGGGTCCAGGCTTCCAGGCTGCAAGCTCGCGCTTCCGAGAAGGTGGTTTTTGTCTGTTTGTTTTGCCGGGTCCTTGAAAAGTACGCGGATGCTCTGCAGCCTGTTCCTCGGGAGAACAGAGCACAGCGATCCTAGGTACCAGGGGCCCTGAAGTGTCATTTATCCGGAGCGGCCCTGGACCCCCGCACATCCGCCAGCTCAGCCTTTGTTCCTCTTTCTGTCCAATTCAGGAAGATTCACAGACGGCGTTTGAGCGGAGGAGATGGAAGGGGACACGCTGCTTAACCCGTGAGACGGGCACGGTGTCCGACGGGCACGAGCCCCTGCGGAAGGTCCCCGTTTCAGCGAACCGTTTGGCGTTTTCACTGTTGCTGACCAGTGATGGCGACACTACATGTTCTTCCGGTTCAGAGACAGAGCCACCCTCCGCTCCCACCGCTGGACAGACCTGCTCCTCCGGTTGCAAGTGCCGATAAGTGGGACGTACAGGGGCTCGGAGGGGGCGCTGGGGGGGGGGCTGCAGGTCTTGGCCCCTCCCCCCACCTGGCCCATTGGAGTCTGACCAGTGAGCTGGAGCTCTGGGCTTGAAGGAAAGAGAGAGTCACAGAGCTTGGGGGTGTCCAGCCAGGGGCGTCTCTCCCCGACGTAACTGAAAAGCCCTCATCCGAACGCGCACTGAGCTGTGGGCGCTCCGGCCTCTCGCTCTGCCTCCTGCGCCAGGAGCCAGGTCCCAGGCCAGGTGCCCTCAGCTCGGGGCGGGACGCCCGCCCTGCTCCCCACGGCGCTGCCCCCGGAGGGCCGGGCGTGGGGTGCACAGCAGGGAGGGAGAGAGGGTGGACGAGGAGAAGGTGGCGGAACGTGGCTGACTGTGGGTGGGGGTCACACAGCAGAAGGAGCGGATCAGGGTCAGCCAGGTGCACCTGAAACCTGAATGATCCCAGTTACCAATGTCACCTCAATGTCACCTCAATGTCACCTCAAACACTGAATTAAGAAGAACAGGGAAAGAAGGTGTGACTAGTGAGGGACCCTCGGCTCCCCTCGGGGGGCGTGAAGATGTGCTTTTCTGGGTCAGAGAAAGTCCAGGTGATTACAGGTTGTCAGACTGTCTTAGACCACGTGGATGGGCCTGTGTGCCATGGGGACCTGAGGGTGGATCGGGTCCCCGGGACCTGAAGAGGGAGCTGGGCTCACCACCTACGAACAAGGGGACGCAGGGCCCCGGCTCTGAGGACGGCACTCGGCAGGCGGAGCTCAGGGGACGGTGGTCAGTGCCCTGTCCCCCACCCTCACACTGACCGAGCGGAGTGAGTGCCCAGGCTCAGCCCCAGCCCGAGGCGGAGTGTGAAGTGGAAATTACTTCCCCCAGAAATGTAGGGACTCTTTTTCTTTTAATCCTCACCCGAGGACATTTCTGCATTCATCTTCAGATAGAGTGGGAGGGAGAGAGAGGAAGAGAGAGGGACATGAGTGGCTGCCACCCTCTCATTCCCAACCAGGGCCGGGGACAAACTGCAACCGAGGTCCGTGCCCTTAGCGGGAACCGAACCCGGGTCTCTCGGGTCCGCGGGCCGACGCTCTGACCGCTGAGCCAGACCGGCCAGGGCGGTAGTGACTCTTTTTAAATAGAAACAGTTGGGAACGGGGGTGGGACACTCCTCAACGGCAGCTCGGTCTGCACACAGCGGACAGACAGACAGGCTGGCAGGACAGCGTCGGGACGGGGTACTCACAGGCCTTCCGCGAAGCACTCCAGCAGCAGGGTGGCCCCCCGGAGGACCGTGGCTGAGGACTCAGGGCCCAGACTAGCAGGAGGCAGCAGCAACCTGGGTTTTCTCTGCTTGATCGAATTTGCTGAAAAACAGGGATCTCGGATGTTTCTCGAACCAAGAGCCTTCACGTCCTGTGCCCTAAAAACTTTCTCAGCATACGTCACCCTGTGTCCGTGTGTGAGGGTGTGGGGTTGGACACACGCCCCACTGTGGAATGTTCCCACTCAAAGAGACGCCCTCCCGCCCTGCAGCCGGTGTCGGGGGGCCTGTCACCACTGGGCTGTCGTCGTCCGGGAGCCCAGACATGGCGAGAAAACTCTCCATGGGGCCCGTCGGTGGCCGATTCAGTTCCACATGGTGTGTTCTGGCCCCATCCGATGTCTGTGTGTGTTCATGTGTGTGTGCCTGTGTGTATTTGTGTGTCTGTGTCTGTGTCTATCTGTGTATCTGTGTGTGTGTCTGTGTGTGTGTATCTGCGTGTATCTCTGTGTGTGTGTCTGTCTGTGTATCTGTGTGTGTCTGTGTATATCTGTGTATCTGTGTGTGTCTGTGTGTGTGTCTGTGTGTATGTCTGTGTGTGTGTGTCTGTGTATCTGTGTGTGTATCTGTGTGTATCTGTGTGTGTCTGTGTATCTGTGTGTGTGTATATCTGTGTATCTGTGTGTATCTGTGTATCTGTGTGTGTCTGTGTGTGTATCTGTGTGTGTGTCTGTGTGTATTTTTTTTGTCTGTGTGTCTGTGTGTGTGTGTCTGTGTGTGTCTGTGTGTGTGTGTGTCTGTGTGTGTCTGTGTGTGTGTCTGTGTGTATGTCTGTGTGTGTGTGTCTGTGTATCTGTGTGTGTCTGTGTATATCTGTGTATCTGTGTGTGTCTGTGTTTGTATCTGTGTGTGTGTCTGTGTGTATTTTTTGTGTGTGTGTGTCTGTGTGTGTCTGTGTGTGTGTGTGCACGCGCACCTTACATTGAACACGTCCATGTACTCATGCACTTTCTCAGGTCCCTGCTACGGCACAGCCTCCTGGACCTGCAGGCAGAGGCCCGACTCGGACACCAGGCGTCTGGGAACTGGTCAGACCTTTCTGTGACTCCGGGTGTCTGGGCTCAGAGACGCCCTGCGGGACGGCCCTCTGCACCAGGCTGACCGCACAGGGAGACACCCCTCTGACCTTCCCACGCGACCTCCTCAAGCGCAAGGCAGTCGGGACCCCGTCTCTGGGTCACACCCTTCCCCGAGGTCCACATGGCCTCAGTGCCAATCACCCACCGCGGTGGGAAGAGAAGGGGCTGCCGCCGTCAGAGCGGGGTGCAGCCACACACCTCTCGGGTGTGCCCATCGGGAAAGACGCAGCACCACTGTCATTACACATACACGATGGGGCTGTATCTACAGACTTCCTGTTACACAGTGATCACATCGATGTCTACACCCATGTCCGTATAGTTAAATACACTGGGCACATTGTTAAAATGACTCTTCTGTGTGCTGTCAAGGTGTGATACACATATCTGAGTGATTGGCCGCAGAGACAACAACGCTGGCTGTGGACTGAATCCGCCCCCCTTCTGGCTGAGGGGGCGCAGCTCCGAGTCGGCCCCCAGGCCCCAGACACTGCCGTGCGGCAGAGGTGGACGCCTCCGGGCCTGGGGACAAAAACCTTTTGCTGTGTTTGTAAAAATAATCCTGCTCGTTAGGAAACACGCTCACCCCACGTCTAAGTCAGGGTTACTCAGGCGGCTCCCACAGAACACCGGCTCCGGTGGGTGCTCCGTGGAGAACACAGAGACGTGTTCTGGGCGCTGGCTTTGGAAGGGCTGCGATGTCTTTCTCCGAGTCACTGACACGGACAGTGCACACCAGGTGTGCTGGGAAGTCCCGCAGGAAAGTGACCTTTGAACTCTCTTAAACACAATGTTCCCTGCACTCGCTGACGCTGAAACATTGTTTCCTTTCAGCCCTTCCAGCGTCAACCACGATGTCTGGACAATGAGAGGCCTCGCGGGGCCTGGGAACAATGACTCCATGCAAAGTGCGTCATCCCCCACGTGTGTTCCTACCTGTCTGTGTGTGAGTCACATGATCCACACATACGCGGTGTATTCCTACAGTGATGCGTTTATAAATATCACCCTTTTGCCTATATTTAAGGGGAGAGTCATAGATGCCTGTACGCTAAGGGATTTTCCTTGCCATGAATGTTCATGTTTTGATAAACTCGCGAAGGGACTGAAGGGAAAATGCAAATTCTGCGGCGGCGCTGTCCCTGCGCCACTTACCCCCGGAGCCCGACTCTGTGGGTGGACGGGAGGCGTTCGCATGCGTCACTGAAATGAAAGATGGAAGAAAACACACAAACACAGCGGTGGATGGACACTCGGGAGGGTGGACAGGTGTTTTCTTAGGAAAATGGCAAGATGAGGTGCACCCTGGCTTCGCTAGGACGTCGTCTTGAGGGAAACAGCTGAGGAAACACTGACACGGAGCTGGCCTGGGGCAGCACCGCCGAGTCCAGGCGCGGATCCCAGCCCGGGGAAGTGGGCTGCGGCTGCCGGACCGGCCCCGGTGCAGCCTGGGCGGCGTGGGTCTCACGCGAGGACGGAGACAACACCAACTACCCAGACAACGGCCGGCCATGCCCACTCGGGCTCGGGCAGCCATCTCCCCTGGGCGCCTGCGGTTCCTGCTCCCCGAAGACCTGCTCCCGCTGGGCGCCCGACTCGAGCAGGAAGGAGGGGCGTGTGGGACAGAGAGTACAGGGGCGACGGAATGGCCAGCCTGGGGTGCCTGAGACACCCGGGAATATCGCTGTGCTTCGCTCCCTGAAAACGACTAGACCTGTGGATGGCAAGCGGCATGTATTCGTCTGTGAACTGCGTGGTTTTCTGGTGACGAGGGACAGAGCCCCGAGCCTGCAGGGACGGGGCCTCGCCTGGCGCCGCCTCCGGGGCTGAACGGAACCCCGGTGGGAATGCCAGCCCCGCGCTCGCTGGCGTCGGCGAATGGAGCGCAGATGCGCTGTCCCCGGCGCCCGCCGCGGGGCGGGAAGGATTGGACTTACAGCTGTTCACCGTCAGCTTCATGGGCATCTTCTGCACGATGGTCCGCAGCCGCGGGAAGGCGGCAAAGCAGCAATAATCGTTGCGGCTGTCCCTCTCCTCCACGTGGGCGAAGTACAGGTCGCCCTGCTGGCTCATGTACACGCGTGCGTCCTGCCGGATGTGCTCCAGCTCTGCAAGGGAGCCCGGCTGTTAGGGGCCGCGGCCCTCACTCCCTGTCGCCGCCCGGGTCAGCTCCGCTGTCCCACGGACTCACTGCGTCTGATTTCTCAGGTCTGTCCTCCTAGCCCCTCGGCCTGGTTTCACCACGGGAGCCGAGAAGGAGGACACAGGTCCACCCAACCCGGGCGGGGGCACGTCCTCGGGGCCGCCTCTGCCCCTTCTCCTCCCACCTCCCGGGCCTCTGCTTCTGCCCCACGGGCCTGGGGGACCGGTCAGGAAATGAGTCCAGTTCAGATAATGGCCCTTCACCCTTTCATGTCCTGAGGACGGTGTTTCCTTAAGGCAGATGTCCCCAAGCACCCTCTCTGAGATGCGACTCTCTCCTGGATGCAGCCCGGGAAGTCCTAGGTGGCCACCGTCCGAGTGCTCAGCTGCCACCGGGGGTCACGGCCGTGGTGGCCGTCCCTCTGCGTGGGCCACGGGGAAGACCCTGCTCAGGCAGCCGCCACAGGTGGACACCAGCAGCGGCTGGGATCTCAACTCGGGAGGGAGAGAGAGGCTTTGGGAAGGGACTCAGACCGTGAACACTGACTTTTCTGTGGGTCACTGGATGGAGCGGGTGAAACAGGACTCGCAGAAAAATCCTGCTGGTGCCGGACACGGGTGAGCTCGGCTGGCGTGGGTGCCCCCCAGCCGCAGGGGGCGGGGGCAGACAGCACCTCTCCGCAGACGTGTCCTCACGTCAGGAGTGTCTGCTCTTTCCAGAGAGAGTTTAGGAATCTCTTCACCAGCTCCCCAGTGCCCCCACGCCCCCCTGAAGTGTGCACTGGACACTTGGGAGCAGACGGCAGGCGGGTGTCGTTCAGAAATGCATCTGGTGCCACACCGATCGCCTGTTATCGCCTTTATCTGTGGCTCCAGCACGCCCGCCACCCACCACGCGTGGCCTGGGACCCACGGACTTACTGATGTTCATCCAGTAGACGTGCAGGGGGGGGAGCCCCGAGGGGGGGTTGCAGTGCAGGACAATGTTGTCCCCCTCCTCCACTTCGAGAGGCTCGATTTTCTCTTTGGGGAATTTTGGAACATCTGGGATAAAAAAAAAAAGTCATTTTTAAGACATGTGAAAGTTAGCTTTCAAGTCATATTTGGTGCATTCTTCTTGCACAAAATCAGAGCGTTTTTATTTATTCACGGCGACATCCCCAGGCTTGGTTCTCGTGTCCCCTGCAGAGGGAAATGCCACTGGGACTCGGGGTGCACCTGGGGTGCACCCTGACACAAGCTGAAGAACACCTGTGTGTCGTCATGTGGGCGACGGGTGTCTCCTCCGTGACAAGGATCAGCCAACACGCCTGTCCCGCGCGTCTGCCTGCGGAGGCCGTGAGCTCGGAGCCACGGCCGCCGGTCCTGGACGGCGCCCTTTTCTGCAGACACTGTCCCCTGAGGCAGACACCGGTGGTTGGTCCGGGGCGGGGTGGGGACCGTCCCTGCGGGCTGCGTGAGGCCGTGAACCAACAGCAGCAGACGTGAGCGCCCGCCTCACCGGGAGCGGCTCCGGCCTCGCAGGGGGGCTTATCCGGCGTCGGACGGAGGCACAGGCGGGTGCTTGAGTCGATGATGGTGTGGGGCCCGCGAGGGTCGCTACACGCTGCCCAATGGCCCTCGGCGGGAAGAGGTTCCCACCCCTGCTTCGGGGTGAAGTGTTTCCGGTGATTGGCAAGTATTTCATCAGGCACCGAACCACACACGCAACTCAGCCCACAGGGGGAACCGGTCCCGGTGCCACGAGAAGCCGAACTGACCCCGTTCAGGTGCAGGGAGCCCCCGCGGGGGAGCCCCTCCGGGAAGGGAGCTTTGCGCAGGGGTGTGGCATGTTCCCTTTCCTCCCCTGAGGGGTGTCCCCCTTTCCTCCCCTGAAGGGTGTCCCCCTCTCCACCCCTGAGGGGTGTCCCCCCTCTCCTCCCCTGAGGGGTGTCCCCCTTTCCTTCCCTGAGGGGTGTTCCCCATTCTCCCCCTGAGGGGTGTCCCCCTTTCCTCCCCTGAGGTGTGTCCCCCCTTTCCTCCCGTGAGGGGTGCCCCCTTTCTCCCCTGAGGGGTGTCCCCCCTTTCCTCCCCTGAGGGGTGCCCCCTTCTCCCCTGAGGGGTGTCTCCCCTTTCCTCCCCTGAGGGGTGCCCCCTTTCTCCCCTGAGGGGTGTCTCCCCTTTCTCCCCTGAGGGGTGTCCCCGGAGAGCAGAGGCGGCTACAGGGAAGTCCCCGCTGCACAGCTCTGAAGTCCAACGCCCACGTCCAGACCCCGGGAAGCCTTTGTCAGCTGAGAGACTATCCCCCTGCTCAGCTGAGCTCTGCGGTGCGTGTCCAGCTGTGGGGGCTGATCACGGGACCCCAGCTGATGGGACAGGAGGGCCTCACCGAACGGGACTTGGCAGGGCTCTGTCTCTGCATTCCTTCTTAACCCGGGGTTCACTGAGGGGTGTCATCACTCTGGGAAGTCTGAAGACAAGCTCCTCTCCCCACTGTCAACTCTCCCCTCCCTGGTTGGGGGACCGGCTGACGCTTCTCCTACCGAAGCGCCGGCTGGTCGCAACGAACTGCTGTCCATCTCAAGTCGACGACCCTCCAAAGCCGGTATTGCAGGGGGTAGGGGGCACTGCAGGACCTGGGCCACTTGGGACGGCAGGCCTCCGGCATGGGACGCTCCCCGCAGCTCCCCACCTGGCCACCTGACTCCAGCACACCCATCCCGACAGGCATTGGGAGCGGCAGCCCCGGGCATCCTGCTGTCGGGGTGCGTGACCCACCCCGAGGGCTGCGCCTGCTGCCCGCCCCCACCACGCTCAGGCCTGCCGGACGGCGCGGGTCGCCGCCTCCCTCCAGGCCAGGGTAGGAGCACATCTGAACCCCCCGCCCCCACACCCTGTCCCTCGGCCAGCTCGCCGGCTCGACCGAGTCCAGTGTCCACTGCACGGGGTCCGCCCGGCCGGTGGGCAGGTGCCCAATCCGTCTACACTCAGATTCAAGGGGTCACGGCATCAGAACCGAGCGCGGTTCTGCCCGGAGCGAGCAAACGGGCACACCCTTCTCGGGGACACCCTTCCCGGGGACACCCTTCCCGGGGACACCCTTCCCGGGGACACCCCTCGTCCAGCCGCCGATGAACACGGAGTGCAGCCCCTGACGGCGAACTGCCCCTGGAGCACTGAGGGAAGCCAGTGGCGCAAACGGATCGCGCAGGGAAGCCCACTCACCCCGCCGGAGTCAAATCCAGGCTGTAAACCCCAGTTCTGCAAATGCAAACACGTAATTCAATGGCTTCCCAGGCGTGGATAATAAAAATAGGGTGAAATAAAATGTGCACGTCTACCAAGCCCTTCACCCCGCGCCGCCGTCCTCCGGAGCAGCTTCCAGTCGGGGATGAAATTAATCTCCGGGAACAGGAAGGGTTTTATACACGCAGTGATTTAAGGTCCGAGAAGAGAGATCACAAAGGCCGTTAACTTGTCGGGCATCTTTAGGTCTTCTTCTCTGGCTTTGAAAGCGTTTCAGCGGGGAGGTGCCAGGCGAGCGAGCGAGCGCGTTAACGTCCACGGACGCCCGTGAGACGTGGTTACTGTGACCGCGCAGCCGGCCCGAGTCGGCTTCACGCGCAGGAAGACGCGCTCCGGTTACGAGCGACCCGCGCCAGTGACTTCCCTTAACGGTTTCTCTGGAGAAAACATCAGCGTCCCCGATCTGGACACGCACGCCGCTTTACAAAGTGGCTCGTGAACCACCGTTTCTCTTCGTCCCTCTGCCTGTCGACTCCCCGCAGGTGGCCCGTCCCCTCCTCGTGCCCCAGCGAGCCTGGCCTGACCCTGGGCTGTTCCCTGTGCGAACGTTTGGAGACCCCACGATGGCCAGGCCGAGGGGAAGTCCACCTGCTGCAGGAAGCCAAGAGCCTCCAGCACCGGCCTCGTCCCCTCTCCTCCGGGAGGAGCCACCTGTGTCCCAGGGCAGCAGAGGCCCTTCCAGGACAGCTCCAGGGGCAAGGCCCCCGAAACCCAGCCCGAGTCTGCGCGGGCAGCTTCCCTGTGCCCAGTCTGCTTGGAGCCACCGGCACGAGCCTGCAGTGCAGACCGGGGGGCTCCCGGGGCCGGCGGGCTCACACTCACCGACTCTCCCCTCCTCCTACAATGAAGGACAACAGCTTCCTGCCAGCACAGGAGGCTCCTGCAAACGGCTCTGCATCTGGGGTCACCCTCCAGCATCTGTCGGGCTCCCAGCCCAGCGGCTGCGCCCCGGCTCCGCCCCTTTCTCCTCTCTCCGGGCATCTCAGGGTCTCTGACCTCCTCTCTGAGAGCCTCAGAGGGTGGTAGGGGTTCCTCCGGCGCCGGGCACCCCAAAGCCTACATGTCTGGTGGTCAAGAGAAGCCGGGACACAGCCCGGGCAGGTCTGACTGAATACTCATCACGCTGACTGACCGTCAGGGAAGAGGCATGGGGTCTGCACCACGCGGCTAGGACTGTGCAGAGGTCTTTCCCAGGACCCGAGGGTGGAGTCCAGGCCCTGAGTCCCAAACTCCGCCGCAGGTGCTTTCGCCCGAGCGGGCAACACCTTCAGCCCCCGAGAGGACGCCGCGCGGGTGACGGGGCGCAGGCTGCACTGAGCACCAGGTGGTCACCATCTGGAGCCAGCTGCCTGGGCCCGGCTTCCTCACTCACCGCGGACCCTAACCCCCTCCTGCAGCGGTGCGAGTGTCCCCCTCCTCCAGCGGCACAGCGTCCGCACCTTGTATGTTGATTGATCAGAGTTTAAGCCCCTGCTTGTACGTCCATCACAACCTGGCGGACGTCTGAATCACCGCGCACGGTGACTCCTGTTCAGGGGCATCCCGTGAGGTGCACCCCATCACCGTGCACAGTGACTCCTGTTTGAGGGTGTCCCATGAGGTGCACCCCATCACTGTGCATGGTGACTCCTGTTCAGGGGCGTCCCGTGAGGTGCACCCCATCACCACGCACGGTGACTCCTGTTCAAGGGCATCCCGTGAGGTGCACCCCATCACTGTGCATGGTGACTCCTGTTCAGGGGCGTCCCATGAGGTGCACCCCATCACCACGCACGGTGACTCCTGTTCGGGGGCATCCCGTGAGATGCACCCCATCACCATGCACGGTGACTCCTGTTCGGGGGTGTCCCGTGAGGTGCACCCTGTCACCGTGCATGGTGACTCCTATTCAGGGGCGTCCCGTGAGGCGCACCCCATCACCATGCACGGTGACTCCTGTTCAAGGGCATCCCGTGAGGTGCACCCCATCTCGCAGCGCAGAGACTCGAGGGCAGAGGCTCTTTCCTGCTAACTCCTGCGCCCACATGCGAGTATTTGGGATCAACTTTTTCGCCGGAGGCGGAGAGGGAGCCAGGGGGATGGAACACCGAGTTTCATGGGGGGAGGAGGGTTCACTGAATGAGCTGTCCCCGCCCTCCCCAGGGTCCCAGGAAGGACCCTCAGCAGAGTCCCCCCGCCTGGTGAAGACCCCAGTGCACGGTATGTACACGATTCCTCAAGAAAGTCTCTGAAAAGCCCTACTGAGGCGGGAGAGGAAGAAGCCAGGACAGTTCCTGGGCAGTGGACACAGACGAGTCACTAAACACGGCCGGACGACTTGAACGAGCTGGTGAATCGCAGGAACGCGTCCATCTTCCCTCACCAAGGACACGAGAGCAGAGGCTCCTCCCCGACAGGGCACACGTCGCAGCGACGGTGCATGAGACCCCGGTCATGCCCGTTGCGCCAGCCAAACCCAAGGACGGGCGACGTCGGGGAACAAACGACAAAAACCGGGTTAGAGCCAGACTCACCGAGATAGGGCAAAGCGGGAAGCCAACCAGAGAACGACCCCAAACTCCCTGTGCGCTCACCTGGATGCATCGGCACATCGCAAACACACTGGGGAGCTGACGGATGCACCGAGACCCTCCCCTGAGGCCCCTCGACACATGGTGACAGGACCCTCAAGACGAAGGACACTGGCGGGCTCGCTCTGGAGCCCATGCCCCTCGGGCGTGAACGTTTTATTTTCATTCTCCTGAGCTCTAAGGGCCCCA